CTCGATGGAGCTGAGGGACCAGGCAGGGATCAGGCCCTGGGCTTCCTCGGGCAGAGTTGGGGAGGTAGGAGATGCAGCAGGCAGGTAGGTAGGCAGGTGGTGGACGCGTCTGGTGGGTGGAAGATTTTGTTTGTTAGCTCTAGAGCCTGCACTTTCTAGATGCTTGGGGTCCCTTCTGAAAGTAACAATAACAATGATGAATACTTACTGAGCACAGTGTGTGCCAGGTAATGCTCTAAGCACTTACAGATATTAACACATTCTCTCTTCATTACAATTCCATCTATCCATCCATCCATTCAACAGATATTTACTGAGTGCCTACTATGTGCCAGATATGTTCCAGATGCTGGAAATACAGCAGTGACAAGACAGACGAAACCCCTGCCCACATAAAGTTTACATATGGAAGGGGAAGACAGCCAATGTATGCACGCGAAAAGATATAGTATGTCAGATTGTGAGAAATGCTGCAAGGTATGTTAGAGGGGGATGAGAGGGATTGAGAGGGCAGAATTATGTGGTGGGACAATTTTTGAGAGGGTGTCCTGGGGAGCCTCACTGAGATGACATTTGAGTATAGATCAAAGCTGGCCCTCCATCTCTTAGCTGAGAATGATTTTTAGAGAAGGACATTTGCAATCAATTTCATGATGGGGAACACTACTTTGATGTTATTCCCCTGAAAGAATTCCATTCTTGTCCTTAGTTGACCTGTATTACCAAAAAACAAAAACAAAAAACAGTACTCAGTTCTTATTTTTTAAAAATATATTTCACATTTCATCAATAAACATTTTGCGGAAATATGTTTTCTTTCTTATTATATGTAAGTACCTGCATAATATCTCAATTTTGTCTCTCAACCCACCAAGCCTAAGATATTTACTACCTGGCTTTTACAGAAAAAGTCTGTTGGCCCTGATATAGACACAGGGGGTGAGAAAATGAGCTGTATGGATATTTGGGGGCAGAGGGAACAGCCAGTGAGGCACATCCCATTGTGGCTGGATTCCTCGGAGTCAGGAGGGCAGTGATAAGAAAGGATCACAGGAACCTGGGCACATGGTGTGAGGTCTTGTGCCAATGCCTAGGTATTTGCAAAAATGTGAGTGGCTATCATTAATAGAATATCTTTTTTTTTCCTATTGTATGTTCTAATTTGTTATTGCTGAGGAATAGAAAGCTATTGATTTTTGTATATTGATCTTTCCCTAGCCCTCTTATTTATTCTTATAGTTTTATTAATTTTTCAGTTGGTTCATTGGATTTGTTTTAGAAGGCAATTCTGTCTTTCACAAATGATGCATTTTAGATCTTCCTTCCCATATATAACTCAGTTTCTTCCTCCCCTCCCCTTCCTCCCTCTCTCCCTTCTCTATCCCCCCTTTCCTCCCACCCCCTCATAAAGATGAGATTTTAAATTTTCTAAAGAGCGTCAGTGAGAGTGCCTCCGTTGTATAATTTTGCTGACCTCCCTGGGGTAGGCATCAGAAGGCTTGGTCCTCTGGGCCTGGATGTGGATGTAGGAAGCAGGAGGGTCATATACAGACTCCAAAAGGGGAAGTTGAATGAATGTGTTGATCAGGTGCTCTGTGGCCAGGAAGAGAACACTGATATCAAGCAGCTCTAAATGTAAAGAAGACTAATAGATGGCTGTCCCTTGAGAATACATAGGGTAGGTGGCTTCAGTGAGTACATCCAGGGTCTCTATTTCACTCCTTTGTACTCGGCCATCCTCAGGATCAATAACTTCAGAGGCAGATTCCTGTGGACTTGAAGGGGGTCTGCACCAGTCCAGCGAACCCACCTGTTTCCATTCACTGTCAGGGGGATGAGAGCAAGGTTGCTGTTGGAAGGTTCTTGAGAAGAATGAGGAGGCCTCGTCTTCTGAGGTTCTGAAAAACCTTTCCTGAAACTCACTGGCTGGCATAAGATCGCCTGCTATTCGGGACCCAACAGTTACAGCCTTAGATGGGATAATGGCGAATAGCTCTACAGTTGGGCAATGGAGTGGTTTCACCTCTCAGAGACCTGTGTGTACCCAATCATGATGGGTAATTACAGAAAAGAGGAATCTTTGTCAGGGCAGCAAAAACCTTAAGACATCTGTCATTTATTTAGCCCCCACATGTAGATTCACAAATATGAATATAGCATGAACTTTCTGCTACTATCCAAATGGGAAATGGGATCATATTGTGTACATCAGTCTTTATTTCGCCTGTTTCACTCAATTGTATGCCTTCTAGAAGTCTGAAATAAGACTTAGAGGGCTAAACTCAAGGTGTCAGCAGCACCCATTCCTTCTGAAGGCCTGGAGAAGAATCTGTTTTCTTGCATTTTCTAGCTTTTGGATGTTACCTGCATTCCTTGGTTTGTGGCCCCTCTTTCTCCACCTTCAAAGTTAGCAATATTGCATTTCTCTGACTACAGCCAAGAAAAGTTCTCCACTTGTAAGGATTCATGTGATTATATTGGCCTCACCCAGATAGTTCAGGATTATATCTCCATTCAAAGTCCTTAAGGTTAATTACATCTGCAAAGTTCCTTTTACCATGTGAGATAACAAATTTACAGGTTTTGAGGATACAGACATGGGTGTACGAATACCTGTTTGAATCCCTGCTTTCATTTCTTTTGGGTACATATCTAGGAGTGAAATTTCTGGATCACATGGCAATTCTATGCTTAACTTCTTGAGGAATTGCCATATTGTTTTCCACAGTGGCTGCACCATTTTAAATTCTTACCAGCAATGCACAGGGTTCCAATATTTTCCCCCTCTTGACCAACATTTGTTATTTTCTGTATTGTTGTTGTTGTTGTTTTTTTTAATAATAGGTGTGAAATGGTATCTTACTGTGATTTTGATTTGCATTTCCCTAATGATTAGAAATCTTTTCATGTGTTTATAGGTCATTAGTGTATCTTCTTTGGAGAAATGTCTATTCGATTTCTTTGTCCATCAAAAAATTTTTTTGTTATTGTTGAGTTATAAGAGTTCTTTATATATTTTGGATATGAGTCCTTTATCAGATATAAGATTTGCAAATATTATTTCCCACTCTGTGGGTTTTCTTTCACTCTATGGATAATGTCCTTTATAGCACAAAAGTTACTAATTTTGATCAAGTCCAATTTTACCTATTTTTTTCTTTTTTGCCTGTATTTTTGGGGTCATATCCAAGAAATCACTGTCAAATCCAATATTTCCCTATGTTTTCTTCCGAGACTTTTATAATTTCAGCTTTTACATTGAGATCTTTGATCCATTTTGAGTTAATTTCTGTATATTGTGTATAGGGTACACAAGGTAAGGGTACAGCTTTATTCTTTTGCATGTGGATATCCAGTCTTCACAGCACACTTTGTTGAAAATACTGTCCTGCCCCCATTGAATGTTCTTGATATCCTTATTTAAAATCATTTGACCATATATGTAAGGATTTTTTCTGGTTCCTCTATTCTATTCCATTGGTCTAGATGTCTGTCATTATGCCAGTACCACAACGTTTTGATTACTATAGCTTTGTAGTAGGTTCTGAAATCAGAAAGTATGAGTCCTCCAACTTTATTCTCTTTTTCAAGACTATTTTGGCTATTTTGGATCCTTGAGATTCCATACAAATTTTAGAATGGATTTTTCTATTTCTGCAAAAGAAATCAGTGAGATTTTGATAGGGATTGCATTGGATCTACAGATTGTTTGGATAATGTTATTATTTTAACAAGATTAAGGCCATGAATATATGGTGTCTTTCCATTTACTTAAGTCTTCTTTAATTTCCTTAAGCCATGTTTTATAGTTTTTAGTGTATGGGCCTTTCGCCAACTTGATTAAATTTATTCCTAAGTTGTTGTTTTTTTTTGATGCTATTGTAAATGGGATTGTTTTATTAATTTCCTCTTTGATTGTTCACTGTTAGTGTATAGAAATGCAACAGATATTTGCATATTGACTTTGTATCCTGCAACTTTTTTGAATTTATTATCTGTAACAGGTGTTGTGTGTATATGTGTGTATCTTTAGGGTTTTCTATATATAAGATCATGTTGTCTGTGAACACAGATAATTTGACTTCTTCTTTTCCAATTTGGATGACTTTCTTTTTCTTGACTAATTGTTTTGGCTAGAACTTTCAGTAACATGTTGAATAGAAGTGGTGAAAGTAGGCATCCTTGTTTTGTTCCTGCTTTTAGGGAAAAGCTTTTAGTCTTTCACATTGAGTATGATGTTCACTGTGGGTTTTTCATATATGGCCTTTAAGATATTGAGAAAATTTCTATTCCTAGTTTACTGAATTTTTTTAATCATGAAAGGGTGTTAAATTTTGTCAAATGCTTTCTTTCATCAATTGAGATGGGTGTATAGATGCACATATATGTATACCATATAGGTGTATGAGCATAATTATTTTTACTTCCTTGAACATATTGTATTTAAAATAGCTATTTTGATGCACTAGTGGAGTCTCTCCAACACATGGGGCCCCTCAAAGACAGCTTCTGTTATCTGCTTCTTTTCCCTATGTACTGGTCCAAGTTTCCTGCTTCTTTGCATGACTCGTAGTTTTTTTGTTGAAAAGCAGACATCTTAGATCATATGTTGCAGCAAGTCAGGATACTGGAGAACTGAGTGTTCCTCAACCCGTTTCCAGATCGCCTCTTCTCGCCAGCGCCAGGCCAGCTACCACACCGGGGAGGGCACGGGCGTCAGGAGGCACCCGCCTGGAAGTGCCCGCACCCTCCCTCCCCACTCCAAACTGGGAGGTCCCTATCCTTTCCTCAGAAGTACCCTAACCCCTGGGTGCTGCGGCTGGACACAGTGTGAAGCGAGGATCTGAGTGAAACGGAGAGTGTGACATTTTCTCGCTCAGGCAAGGAACCTTGCCTTGCCAGGCCCCGCCGTTTCTGCCCTTTGGACGACCCGGCGGCCCCCGGTTTGACGCCAGGCCGCGAGGGGGCGCTCCCAGAGGGCCGAGGCCATTGGCGGTGCCATGGCGTCCCTGGGCGTCCTGGTCTGCCTCCTGCTCCTTCAGCCCTGGCTCCAGGACGCCGGTGCAGGCGGGGAGGGGGTGTACGACGTGTGTGCGGCGCCCTCACTCCCTCCCACCCCCTCAGAGGACGGCCTCCAGGACCCCGGGGCGAGCCCGTCGGAGCATCTACCCACCGCGGGAGGCTGCAAAGTGGTGGACTTCACCCCAGGTGACTTCGTGATGGGAGTCACCAGGCGAGGGCTGAGGCGCTGGACTGGGACGTGCGGCTCCCTGGGAGTCTGGGGAGGCGGGGGACCAGGCTCCGCCCTCGGGGGTCCGAGTGACCGCAGCCGTGCCTGTGGAGGCCGAGAGGGACACGGTTCGGCCTTAGAGGTCTGAGGGACATGGCCTGGGGACTTGAAGCGCGTCCCTGGAGCCCTAGAGGACGCGGCCTTCAGGGCTGTCTGAAGGGAAGCAGGGAGCTCTGGGCAGACAGGCCCTGTTTATTGAGGCTCTTCTGCCTACACCACGGTCTCTGGCGCAGTGTGCGGCCGCGTGCTCCTGAAAATCGTGGGCGGCCAGGAAGTGGAGGAAGGCGAGTGGCCGTGGCAGGTGAGCCTGCGGGTCAGCGGCAGGCACGTGTGCGGGGGCTCCCTCATCTCGCAGCGGTGGGTGCTGACAGCCGGCCACTGCATTCTGAGGTGAGGAGCGCGGGCGGAGGCGCCAGGCTTCCGGCCTCGGGCCTGCCTGCCTTCCTGACACCTGCCCAAAAAAGCCGGAAGTGCAAGCTAAAGCGGAAGCTTGTGAAAGGAAGGCGGGAGGGCTTCTGCGTCGGCGGCCTCGTGCTCTGGGGTGCTGGTATGGCGAGCGAGGACAACCATTTGGGCGAGCCGACCAGCTCGGAGAGTCATTAGGAGGGACTTGAGGAGAGGGTAGTGGGAGCGAGGTGAGGAGGGGAGTGGGGGCTGCCTGGGGAAACACCTGAAATGTGGGAAAAGTGGGTGTGTCCTAGGGTCTCCACCGGGGGCCTGCGCTTCCTCCCGCAGGCGTCACCACTACAGCGTCAAGATGGGGGATCGCAGTGTCTACCAGGAAGTCACCAGCGTGGTGGTCCCTGTCAAAAGCATGATTGTCCACCCGCGATTCTCCACGACTGGAACCATTCGCCACGACCTTGCCCTTCTGCAGCTTCACTACCCTGTGAATTACACCGGGACCATCCAGCCTGTTTGCATCCCTGATGTGACTTTCAAGGTGGCAGCTGGGACCAGGTGCTGGGTGACCGGATGGGGCAGGACACAAGAAATCGGTGAGACTGGGAGGCAGCGGGGCAAGCTGGGGTCAGGGGAGGCAGCCTGTTCCCTGGGGGACACAGGGGGGCCGAAGGGAGGGACAGGGCGGCTGACGGCCTGGCCCACAGGGAAGGGGGCAGCGGTTTAGCAGCCGTGGGTGTGTAGTTCCCGATTGTCTTGAGCCCAGAAATTGGGTCACTTGGTAAAAGTACCCGTCCTGGGAGCCAGAGCCACTCTCAGGAGAAGAAATACATGGAGGAAGTTTCCTTCTGCAGATATGTGGGGAAATCGTGCCTGGCTGCTTTGGGAATATTTTTTAGGCTCCTTGAGGACAGAGCCAGATGCTATGGCTCTATCCAAGGTGGATTTCGGCTCAGGGTATCACATGCTCTCTACCAGTCACACCTGTCCCTCACTGGAAGTACCTGTCTTGGTGGGTACCTGTCTGTGGGTCTGGGCAGAGCCAGGTGAAGCTGGTGAGCCTCCTGTCTCTGAGGTGAGGCTGGATTTAGTACCTTTGGGGCACTTCCAGTCCGAGAGTTTGTGATCCTGTTCCAAAGTAAAGACACTTTACTAAAGCACAGGACACTTGTCTCTATTACTGTTGATACTCAGAGTCACAGACGCTTAGTTGTCATTTCTCAGGCCAGTAAGGCCATGCCTTTTTCTGTCCTGATCTGTTCTCCCTTCTCCTGTTTTGGTTTTGGCTCTTACCTTCTCTTCTCTCAATGTTAACTTGGGGCCTCAATTTCCTCTGGCGTCAAATGGGGACAGTGCCCACTATTCTGCCTTCTTCGGGGTGGATTCTAGGTGCTTGGGGACTTACTGTCCCCCATGCGGGTCCAACCACTGCTGAGTTTCTTTACTTGAAGGTGGTGAATATGCTTCGTATACTCTCCAGAAGGTCGACCAATACATCACCTACTACAAAGAGTGTAATGAGATGATCAAGAAAGCCATGCGAATGACTAGGGACATGGTGCTGAAAGGGATGCTCTGTGGCTATATAGATGCAGGAAAGGATTCTTGTCAGGTAAGTTCATGGACCCTTTTCTACCTCTGCATTAAGGTGGTCACCTCAAAGCTACTTCATTCCCAAATGGCAGGGCCTGGGTTATTTACTACCTTGTCCTTTCACCCTTAGTTAAGGAAATGCCTGGGGAGAAACCCTCATGGCTCTCCTGAGCTGACCTCACTGTCTGGGGGCACTCTGGGGTGTGGGAAGATGGGGACAGGTAACGCTAATAATATAAGTTCCCTTCATTGAGTTCCTCCTACGTGGCACCAACTGTGCTGGTGGGGCGGAGGCTGAGTGTTTCTGGCTGAGCTGGTTAGTGGTGGGGCTACCAGAGCAGCTTTGGGAAAGGACAAGAAGAGCTCTGCTTGAGCAGGGGCGTGTATGGGGTGTCTGGGGGTGGGGCTCGCACTATGGAGGCAGCTGGCTGTCTCGGTTAAGACCTCTAGAGAAATGTTAGGCTAGATGAAAGGATCTGGGGGCTCTCATCAGAGGTGATAAGAGTGTTTCACAACCACTACAGTTTGGGAAATAACATGTCATAATAGCCTGGGAGGATATTAGTGTTTTCCCATTAACTTTTTGATTCTTAGTTCTCACATGCACAAGACCTGGGGCCTGGTGGGAGCCTGGGGAAGGCTCTCCGTGCAGTATGACCAGTTTTCTCGGACTTGGGTACTCTCCCCATCCTGCAGTTTGTTTCTTTCTCCTTCTTCAGGGAGATTCTGGGGGCCCCCTGGTCTGTCAGTATGATGACACATGGGTCCAGATGGGGATCGTGAGCTGGGGCTACGGCTGTGGTCGTAGAGACACACCTGGAGTTTATACAGACATTGCGGACTATGCTAAGTGGATAGTCGAAGTGGTGAACAAGGCTACCATTTTGTATCCACTGGTGTTCCTCATCCTACCCTTGTGGGTGGGGCTGCCCCTGGGTATCCTGGTGAGCCCGTGATCACTGTGGCACGTTCCTCTCCTGTTTTTGAGGCTGGTATGAGGCCTCCCTTCCCATTCCTCAGCACCCTCCCCTCACATTCCTGTTGGGACCCACTGACCCTGCGGAGAGCCACACAACAGAGAGTAGAAGCAAGACTGTGGCCCTGAAAGTGTCCCTGCCTGGCGCTGCAGGCTCCTGCCTCGGCCACGCCTCCACCCTGGCTGTGCCCCGCGGGCAGTGCTGGAAAGGAGGGGTGAAACCGTCCCAGCTGGCGGGCCAGTTGACCTGCTGGGGGGGTGCAGGCCCTGTGCAGATGTCTTGGAGAATGTCTACCAAGGAAGAGACATCATCAACAGTGGACACCATTTGACCAGACACTTCGTGAAACCTGTCATCTTGGTGATTGTCCAGAGAGAGTGAATGAGGTGTCACCCTGTCCCTGCTGTGGTGTGGTTTCCACAGGACTCAGGTGTCTGGGGTGGAGAGAAGCTCCCTGCACCCCAGTGCAGATCCATCTGGTGAGTGGCCAGCCTCTGCCACGCAAGCTTCCTGGTCAGCCCCCTTCCTCAGTGTCCTGATGCCCATACCCAGGCTCAGTCCAAGTTGTGTTGAGGTGTGAAGGAGCATGGAGATTTCTGACATCAGTTGAATAAATGTTTGGAGACTGGCTTATGTGTTCTGCATCTCTACTGGTCTGGGATGTGGGGCCACTAGAAGAACTTAGCTCACATTTATCTTAGGAAGATGTTTATGATGCTCTTGAAGTCCTGCAGTGGGAGGGGAGGGCCTTGCCTACCCTGATGGGAGTCCCACAGGTGGGTCTAGCATGAGGGTCCTGCTGTTGCTCTGTGGCTGTTAGCATGTCTGCAACGAGCTTTACAGCCAAATTGCTACCATTGCATCTGGGAAGGAGGAAGTGAGAGAGCCTGGAAGCAAGAGGAGTCAGGGCAGCGAATCCAAACTGCAACCCCTGCCTATCCCAGGAAGTCCCTGTCTAGGTATGTAGAACCTTGAGCACCAGATTGCCTTGGCCAAGCTATGTGAAGCAAGGTCGAAGCCCAGGGGAGAGGACAGGTTGGCATTCGCTGCATCTGTGCTGGCTCCTTTGCCCCGACTCCCCTTTGGTCCCAGAGTAGCTCACTGCCCCCCATTTCCTTTCCTGTTCATGCAGGTTTGAGGCTGCCTTCTTTTAGGAGGAGATTTGTGAGTTTTGCCTATGAAAAGATTCATGTGAGTGTTTAGGTGGATAAAGAGGTGCACAGGGGTAAAGATTGCTAATTGGCTCCCCTGGCACCTTTCATCCCCTTCCGTCTGGGCATATGTTGATCAGGATAACGACTGCCCTTCTGGGCCTCCCATATATCTAAATGTGACACTAAGTTCTGGATAACAAAGTATAAACAAGTGTTGAGTATGGATTTTGGGAAATGTCCTTAGAGATAGGACAAGACCTTCTTCATCACTTTCTTCTCTTCTGGCTGGAATGTGTATGTGGTGACTGGAGCTTGAACAGCCATCTTGGGATGTGAGGAACATGCTGAGGGTAAGGAACAGGAATTTAGGAGAAACTTGGCTTCCTGGAATGTGTAGGGCTGCCGTTACAACTCTTTTGATGCAAGAGAGAAATACCTTCTCTTTTGATTAAGACACTGTCATCGTTGGTCTCAGTTATTCACAGAAAAACCTCATCCTGCCTGATTCAATTGGTGTTCTCTGGGGCTTTATTTCTGAGTGGTTTTCGTATAAGTATTTATAGCCATTTATTATTAAGAGTAAATTCCTTTTATTTCTACTTTGCTATATGCCATTGCTTTCTACTGTATTCATTTAAAAAAATTGATAATGTTAAAAGCTTATGTCAATGAATGGCTATGATCTCTTAGTGAATTTTTATATTTTCTTCGTCAAGATGTAATTTATATGTAGTAAAACATGTACATTGTCACGTATAATTTTGCGAGTTTTAACAAATGTATACTCCATGTCAATGTCACACAAATTATAATAGAGACTATTTCTATCAAGCCAGGGATATTCCCTTGTATCCCTTTTTAATCATCCTTTCCCAGAGGTACACACTGTTCTGATTACTATCAGATCAGATTTGCATGTAATTGAATCACATATTAATACAATAATATAGTAATTACTCCTTTGCGTCTGGCTTACTTTCCACATACTGTTTTTTTTTTTTTTTTTAAGTTCTTTTCAGAGAGAGGGGAGAGGAGAGACACATCAGTGTGCAAGAGATACATTGACCAGTTGCCTCTCATAAGCCCCCCACTGGCATGCCCCCAACTGAGGACCTGGCCTGCAACCCAGGCAGGTTCCTTGAATGGGAATCGAACCGGCGGCCTTTTGGTTCTCCTGCTGGTGGTCAATCCACTGAGCCACACTAGCCAGGGCTATCTGTGGATTTTTCACCTGTGAGGGGTGTTGGCATCCCTAACCCCATGATGATGTTCAAGGGAAAATTGTGCTGTGTTTTTTCCTTACACATACATATCTAAATACATTTAATTTATAAATTAGGCTCAGCAGGAGATGAACAATAATAACTAGTAACAAGAGAAAAAAATTATAACAGAACGTAATAAAAGTTATATGACTGTGGTCTCAAAATATCGTGTAGCGTACTCACCTTTTCACTTAAGGGAAGCACTTTTCAGTTTTTCTTAGGCATGTCCCAACTGCCAGTATCCATCCTTACCCTTGTGCTTTGAGGCCATTATTAAGTAAAATAAGGGTGATTGGACAGTTGATCTGATAATGGAGGTGGTTACTAAGTACCTAGGGGGTGGGTAGAGTATAGAGCATGGAGGTGCTGGACAAAGGGATGATTCACAGACCTGGCAGACAGAGCAGGGCAGCGTGCGATTTCACCACACTGCTCAGAACGGAGGGACGTTTAAAACTTAGGAATTGTTTATTTCTGAAATTTTCCATTTAGTATTTTTGGACTGCAGTTGACCAGGGGTGACTGAAACCACGGAAAGCGAAACCGTGGATAAGGAGGAACTACTGTATTATGAATTTAGCTACTATAAACATTTGAACAGTTATTTTTGTGTGTGAACATAAATCTTTATTTCTCTGGGATAAATGCCCAGGAGTGCAATTACTGGGTCATATGGTAATTGCATATTTTATTTTTTAAGAAACCACCAATCTGTTTTCCAGAGAGGTTGTAATATTTAACATTCCTACCACAATGTATGAATTACCCAGTATCTCTCTGTATCCTTGTCAGTATTCGGTGTTGTCACCATTTTTAATTTTAGCCAGTCTGTTAGGTGTGCAATAATATCTCATTGGAGTTTTGATGTGCATTTTGCTGATGGCTCTTTTCATGTGGGTGTTGATTTTTTTTCTTAAAGGAGCACTATTATCTCTAACGCAGTGGTTAGTAAAGTGCACCATTTATGTTTAGTTTAAGTTTTTTATTGTAAACAAGTAGGAGAGGGAAATGCTGAGAAAGGCCTAATCTAAGCACAGCTGATTCTTGTGGATGGATCTGCGTGAACATCGGGTGTTGGGGTGGCTGCCGCTCTCTGCGGCCAGGGACCTGGGCCAGGGGACACTGAGTGCGAGGGAAGCACCCCATTACCGAGTCCAGGCTGAGCTGGAAAGAGAGAAGGCTCACCTGAGTCACGCAGGACTCCGCAGCCAGTGGGCCCAGACCCTGACCTCCAGAGGACATCACAGAGCGAGGTGGGGCGGGGGGAGGGGCGCGAGGGATCCTGCCGCAGGACCCCTGCTTCCTGCCAACACGGGCAGAGGCCGGAGCCGCTGCGAGGGGGTGCCACCATAGGGCCAAGGCGGTGCCATGGCTTCCCTGGACCTCCTGCTCGGGCTCCTGATCCTTCAACCGTGGCTCTGGGAGGCCGGCGCCGTTGGGGAAGGGGCGCAGGCTGCGTCTGCGCTGCCCTCACGCTCTCCCACGCCCCGCTCCGGGGGCGGCCGCCAGGACCCCGCTGGCGCGAGTCTGTGGAAGCTGCCATCCGTAGAGATTCAGGGACCCTCGGAAGCCCCCGAATCCCCTTCGGCTTCAGGGTCCCCCGACTGGGTGGCGTTTACTCGGGGGGGCTCTGGCTCCGACGAGGCTCTGGCCGCTCCACAGACATCACCCCCAGCAGTGGAAGCCAGAGAAACGGGGATCATTTCTACAGGTGAGGTGTCTGGGCCCTGCCTGGCCACACAGAGTTGGCCAGGTCTGAGGGCCTTGGGGGAGGAGGGCCTCAGGAAACACAAATTTTCCCTGGGGGAGGGGGCCGGAGTGGACCCAACCCTGCCCTTGAGACCTGAGAGTCCCTGGCCATTCTCAGAGGAGTCAGAGAAAACAGGCCTGCGTTGGGGTCAGAGAGGCCATGGCCTTGCTCTGAGGTCTCTGAGGATTATGTGATCCTGGTGGTAGTGGTGTCATGGCTTTACTTTCTCTGTCCCCTCCCTTCCTTGACCTGCCCCAGGATGTGGCCATCGGGCTATGAGGATAGTTGGTGGAAGACCTGCGGCGGAGAAGAAGTGGCCTTGGCAGGTGAGCCTGCAGATCAACGATGAACATGTGTGCGGGGGCTCCCTCATTGCCAATCGCTGGGTGCTGACGGCGGCACACTGCATATACGGGTGAGTGTTCCAGACCCGGGGCATGGGCTCCGGCTCGGGCTGTGGGACCTGAGGCCGGTGCTGTCTCTTCCTGAGCTTTCTCTTCCTCACCTGAAAAAGGGGATCACAGTCCCTCCTCTTCAGGTTGCAGGTTACTATTTGGGCCCTTGGAGGCTGGAAAGTCCAGATGCAAAATCAGTTTGAAAGCCACTTCTTCAGAGCCAGTGCTGATTAGCCTTCACCAAGTGGCAAGAAGGGGGAGAGATGCCAGTGGGGGACAGTGTGTGGGCAAAGACTTGCAAAGGGAGTGGGATGTAGGAGACCAATTTGGCTAGATCGGTGGTCTCAAACTTTAATAAGCCTAGAAAGACCCGCGGAGCTCCTTAAAACACAGATTGCCTGACCCCGGCCCCAGAGTTTCTGACTCAGTAAGTCTGAGGGGGATCCAAGAATTTGCATTTCTGACAAATTCCCACATGATATTGATGCTGCTCGTCTGAGGACCAAACTTGGAGAACCAATGGGTAGAGCGGCCAGGGGTGAGGGAAAGGGATGTGGTTTGGAGGGAGGGAAGTGGCTGATGGCTGGCATTGGAGATAGGAGGCTGGGAAGAACCTAGAACGTGTAGAAGGGGAATGCGGACCCTCCGGGCTCTCCCTGCAGCCTCATGGAGTACACGGCGAAGATGGGAGACATCCACGTGAGGCATTCCTCCGCGACGGCTGTGTCGGTCCCCGTTCGCGATATTGTCATCCACCAAGATTACAGTACTCTTAGAGTAATGGAAAATGACATTGCTCTGGCTCTGCTCGAGTTCCCCGTGAATTACTCCTCATACATCCAGCCTGTGTGCTTTCCTGAGAAGGCTTTCCCGGTGCAAGCTGGTACAGAGTGCTGGGTGACTGGGTGGGGAAAATTACACGAGAAAGGTGAGACTGTGAAGCAAATCCAGGCCAGGGGAGGGGCTGCCCCGCGCCCTGGGGTTGGCCTCCAAGCTAAAGGGAGACACAGGGAGGCAATTTTCTAGCCAGTGGCTAAGGGAAGAGGGTGGAGGAGGTGCTGCAGGGGGAGTAACTTGATGATGCTGCAAGTTTCTGTTAGTATGTCAGGACCTAGGGGTTTGGGCGGCAAGCAAGGTGGGCTTTAGCTCAGCGGGAGGGAGCGGGAGGAGGGTGTTGATTTGTTTGCTAATCTGAGCTGTCCCAAACAGGAAGTCCCTCCCTTGGTGTTGAGGGAGTTTTCTGCAAATGAGAAGGGGCCAGAGAAGGCCTCAGTGTGAAATTGTAGGCCTCCTATCCCTGGGGGGAGGCTGGATTCGGTACCCTTGGGGCACTTCCTGGCTGAGAGCCTGTGATCCTGCTCCAAAGTAAAGATACTTTCCTGCTATGTAGGACACTTGTCACTATTACTAATGGTACTCAGAGTGGCAGATACTTGGTTTTGATTTCTCAGGCTTTTAAGGCCTTGCCTCTTCTGGTCCTGAGTCTGGGTCTCATTTCTTCCAGTGTCAGGCGGGGACAATATCCACTGCCTTCAGAGGGTGTCTGTGTGTGATCACGCTGTATGAGACCCAGAGTGGGTGGGGGGGGATCCTGTCCTGGCCCACTGATCAGATCTGCCTTTTCCTGAACTGTCTTTACAGATTCCAAATCCCAGGCTCCAGTACTGCTTCAGGAGGCTGAGCAAAGCCTTATTTACTATGAGAAATGTAATGCAATATTTAAGAAAAAGTTACGAAGTTCAACAGACTTCGTAAAGAAAGGGGCTGTCTGTGGTTACAATGTTCAAGGAAAGGATTCCTGCCAGGTCAGTTCATGGGCCCTCTGCTGCCTCTGAATTGTGGTTGTCCCCTCAAAGTTTCTTCATCCACAGGCGGTAGCACCGCATCACCTGCCAGCCCCTCCGTTCATCCTTCATTCAATTTAAGCGGACTTAGTGGGACAGGCTGCTGAGCAGGGTGGCCTGATCCAGTCTCTCAGTAGAGAGGAGCTGACGCTGTCTGGAGGGGGACGGGGGGGACGGGGAGGACGGGAGGTTCAGGCAGGAAACACCAATGATACGGGTCACATGTTTTGAACCCCTCCTATGTGATGGGCAGTGTACTGAGGTAAGGACTTTACTCATGATTGTTATCTCAGAATATGTACATTTTCTCTGTTTATTGTCAATATTTTCAGTTTTTTGAGTATACATACAAATGCTGTTTGTGGAAAATGTTCAACTTTTAAAAAACATTTCTTTCAACTTCTAAATCTCTTTCTCAGACCCCTGGGCCTCTTTCTCAGATCCCAGGAAGCCCCCAACACAACCACCTGCCCAGTGCCCTGCTGGGAGGGCAGCCTGTTCTGATTGTTGGTCTTCCTCCATTCCTGTTTCTCTCTCTTTCTTCAGGGAGATTCTGGGGGCCCCCTGGTCTGTGAATTGAATGACACGTGGGTCCAGGTGGGAATTGTGAGCTGGGGCTATGGCTGTGGTCGCAAAGGATATCCTGGCGTTTATACAGAAGTTAGTTTCTACAAGGACTGGGTCATTGATCATATGAGTCAGCCTTCCCGAGACTCAGCCAGCTTCCTCATCCTACCCCTGTGGCTGGGGCTGCCCCTGGGCCTCCTGGAGACCCTCTGATCACCGCGGCATGCCCCCCTCCCACTCCTCAGCACCCTCTCCTCACATTCCTGTTGGGACCCACTGACCCTGCGGAGAGCCACACAACAGAGAGTAGAAGCAAGACTGTGGCCCTGAAAGTGTCCCTGCCTGGCGCTGCAGGCTCCTGCCTCGGCCACGCCTCCACCCTGGCTGTGCCCCGCGGGCAGTGCTGGAAAGGAGGGGTGAAACCGTCCCAGCTGGCGGGCCAGCTGACGTGCCAGGGGATGGGGGCAGGCGCTGCACGGACATCTTGGAGAACGTCTACCAAGGAAGAGGTGTCATCAACAGTGGACAACTTTCGGCCTGACGCTTCGTGATACCAGTCAGCTTGGTGATTGTCCAGAGAGAGTGAATGAGGTGTCACTCTGTCCCTGCTGCGGTGTGGTTTCCACAGGACTCAGGTGTCTGGAGTGGGGAGAAGCTCCCTGCACCCCAGTGCAGATCCATCTGGTGAGTGGCCAGCCTCTGCCACGCAAGCTTCCTGGTCAGCCCCCTTCCTCAGTGTCCTGATGCCCATACCCAGGCTCAGTCCAAGTTGTGTTGAGGTGTGAAGGAGCATGGAGATTTCTGACATCAGTTGAATAAATGTTTGAAGACGCGTCGATGTTCTGAAGCTCTGCTGTCCAGGATGTGGTGGGGTTGCATATAACATACTGTGTGGTGGGCTAGTTTCCCATGGAGATTAGGAACTATACAGGGTTCTTATTATGCCCTTAGAGGGAGCAGTGACTCCCTACCAGCTCAGATGTGATTCCTTCGGATGGCTGGGCCCTGCTGCCTCTGCTCCTGTGATACTTGTCCGCGGGTCTGCAGGGAGCTTTGTAGCCTAATTTAATAGCTTCTACAGCTCAGAATAGAGGATCCAGAGAAACTGGACGTGGGATCAAGGATAAAGTTGGGGCATGAGGAATATCCCTCTTCTACTGCTTTTACTATCTGCTTACCCCCTCCTTTGTTACTGAAGATTGGCATTCTCCCAGGGAGCAGGGCAAGAGAGAGTCACTGTATTAAGATCCAGTTCTTTATCCTCATTCCAGGGCCCAGTGTCCCAGAATTTCTCTGTCTAGCTGCTGACCAACTCCCTTTGGATCTTCTATCCCCTGCTCTCCCAGGGAGTCAAGGTGTCCCTCTGTATATCTGGGGACTTCAGAGGGCAGTCTGTGTGAGTCCCACGTGTTGCCCGAGGAAGGCTGGGGTTGAGAGACAGAGCTTGCAACCAACCTATTCTCTTCATACACATCCAACCAGCTGCCTTAAGAAGCCACTGAGTATTCTTCAGTTAATAAAGTCAATTCTTCTTCATATAACTTGGTCCTCAGGTAGCTTTGCTCCTTCTTATGGCTCCACTCAGCCCCGTGGTCATGCTTTGCTTGTATCGGCATTCCCTGGAGGCCTTGGTAAAATGCAGACCACCGGTTCCACTCCCAGAGTTCCCAGTCCTGTAGGTCTGCAGGGGTCCTGAGAATTCTCACCTCTAACAAGTTGCCAAGTGATGCTGCCGCTGCTCTGGGGACCACGCTTCAAGAAGTGCTGCTCTGCAGTAACACGGGTACAGAAGGCATCTCCTCTTTGTGGGGGAGTGACAGACATCACCTCTACTCCCTTCCTCTTGGTGGGAACACACAGGAACCCCTTCAGATGCCAGGCTGGGGAATGTGGTCTCCAGAGCTGGAGCCTTCACTCTGGATAAGACGTGCAGGAATCTTTGTGGTCACCTCCCAATCTCTACCTCACCAGCAGATTCAAAGACGTGATCCCTTTGCAGAACACCCTGGGAAAGCCCGAGGCCTTCGTGTCTTTAAGCTACACCCTCCGGGTGGTGGTCGGTGAAAGAAGAGGAATCTCAGCTCCCCAAGACTCTGTCCAAGTCTTAGGTCCAGCTCATATGTTGCTTTTTTCAAAGACATCATCCCTGGTCCCCCAGCCTTACTGTTCTTCCTTGTGCTTTCTACAGCTTTCCAGATTTTCAAATCCATTTAAGTTGTGAAACTCCAGTGGACGAAGCTCAGAGGACCAAGGCTGTAGTCAGAGGCTGGGCGACAAGGTGCCATCACTGGTCTTGGGATTTGGGTGTGCCTTCACTGGACAGGTTCTGGGGGCACTGCCACCAATTTAAGGCACTTGGGGGTGATTTCATGGGATGGGGAATCGGGGAGGCACTCACAGATCCAGGGCTCTGAGGTCAGCTTCCAGGAACCGGCGCGAGGTCGGGGCACAGGGCATGTTCAGGACGCCGTAGTGTTCTCGCACGTCGTCGTTAGACGCCTGCAGCCGGCCGGGCGGTCTCGCGCCTGGGAATCCGTCAGGTGACGTGCTAGAGCCGCCATCGTGCGCCAGCGGTGCCGTCACGCTTCGGGGTGCCTTCGAGGCTGTGAAGTCGCCAGGTGACGCCTCTGCGCCTCATGGCTGCCTCGCCGTCAGGCCTCAGTGCTGGGCCTGGAGGCCTGATCAGCAGCCTCCTGCTGCTGCTGCTGCCGCCTCTGCTGAACTTGGGTGAGGCCCCAGCGGCTGTTCCCCGCCTTCTTCCCCAGGCCCCGCCCCCTCCTCTTCCTACTTCCTCCTCCTCCCACCCCTTCCCCTCCACCAAACCCTCATTGGAGACAGGACAGGGGCTGGCTCTCGGCATAGCGTCCCGCTGGACTTCTGTGACCCGCCCACTCCAGAGTCAGCTCGCCAGGACGATTCTAGGAATGCTGAACTCCTGTCCTGCCTGGCCTCCTCCCTCAGGCCCCACCGGCCCTGCAGCCTTCTGAGGACCCCTGACAGGTCCCCTAGCCCGTCAGCCACTTCCTTCCGCTATCAGCGTGGGTGTTATGGCAAAGACCCCAACCGCCCTCTTGACGGCATCCTCAGGCCTCTCAAATGCTACCCCTGTCTCCCCAGACTCCGACCTTCCCGGGCAGCCGGGCTCCCCTGCAGACCCCACTCAGGCACGCGGTCTGGCCCACACAAACTCCTGGTCTCCATCTACTTAAACAATATTCTGCAATTCATCTCCTACCCAGACCCCCTACCCCAACCGTGTGCCTCACTGGCTGCGCTTCCTTCACTCAGCGGATGCGGCCTTCAGGCGCCATCTCCCCGACTGCCTCCAGCCCCCGGGGCCCCTGACTACTCAACACCATCCTCGCCCACGTGTTAGGAATCAGAGACAAGCCTCGTGCTCAAGGTGGGCCCTCCTGTGCTGCCTCCATCAGCCTCGCTCACAGACCTTTATCCCTCCCCGCCCCCTTCATATTTGCTGTGTGTTCCCTCTTTCCCTCACTGCAGGAGTTCTGGTAATTACAGTGTTCACTTCATGCTTCCTTCCAGTGCCTCCTCATTTAATCCTTAGCCCATTCCTGGCACGTGCCTGCTGCACTGTCCCCGACGTGTCTACTACTACTTCCTTTTTCATTTTCTCTGGTCCTCTGGCACCTCTCCTGAATCTGTCACTGGCCAAGAAGTTTTTGTCCCCACCCCAGAACAGAAATAAAGAGAGGAGGCAAAACCGATTCAACAGGCGGTTTATTGGAAACAGGAGGGAGGGAAAGGAGGAAGGGAGGGAGCCCGATGCACCGACGGAGCCCACACTAGCAGCAAGCATGGCTGCGACTGCTCTGGGGTCGGGCTTATGCAGCGCTGGGTTTCTTCACGCAGGTGCAGTGGGTCTCCGTTCTCCAGGCTCCTGCTGTGGGCTGGCATTGACTAGCACAGCTGTAGACACATTGATTGGGGGAGGTCTGAAGAGAAAGTTTAATTTTTTTTTAAATTTTTATGTTTCAGTTACAGTTTACATTCAATATTATTCTGTATTAGTTTCAGATGTACAGCACAGTGGTCACACAATCATGTACTTTACAGAGTGGTTCCCCCCATCCTCGATATTTCCAGTACCCACCTGGCCCTATGCCTAGATATCATGATATTATTGACTGTATTCCCTATGCTGTACTTTACATCTCGGTGACTATTCTGTAACTACCAATTTGCACTTCTTAATCCCTTCTTCTTTTTCACAAAAGCAAAACGTAATCTTTTTTAGGAGAGGCTCAAAAAGTAACTGAAGGAGCTTGCCATCCACCTAAGAGAGGCTCAGCCTCTCTCAGTTCTCCTCTCCCTCAGGGTAACTCCCTTGTTCCTCTGCCTCCCTCCCAGCTACCCGGCTCTGTTCATCCCTGATGTACTGGAGTTCCCTAAGGTGCTGTCTGGGTCCCCTCTTTGTTGCTCCCTGGGTGAAATTATGTGCCCTGGGCAGTGAGCTGCCATTTAGGTGATGCTGCTTCACATGTCTGGATGTGCATCCACCTACTGGACATCACCTGAATGACCTAGAAACACCCCAACTTCTTGGGAGGCTCTCATCTTCCTACAGACTGGTTCTCTTACTCTGTTCTCTAATTCAGTGGAGAGCAGCCACTTGTCTCTAAAATCAAATGGGTAGGGGGGCCCTGGCCTGTTGGTGGGAACATTGTCCCATGATTGAAGAGTTGCAGGTTTGATTCCTGGTCAGGGCACATACCTAGGTTGTGGGTTCCATTCCCCAATCCAGGCACATCTAAGAGGCAACCAGTTGATGCTTCTCTCTCACATCAGTGTTTCTCTCTCTCCCTTCCTCTCTAAAAGCAATGAAAATATGGCTTTGGGTAAGGATTAAAAAAATAAAAATAAAAAAGAAATGGGGAGGAAATCAAGATGGTGGAGGAGTGAATGGAAGTCATACTGACCTCCTCCCAGGACCAATCTGGAATTACAACTAAATTGTGGAGAAATCACCTGGAACCAACAACTGAACAATAGTGAGAGAGGAGCCTTATAACCTCGGACAGGTAGAAGGGTCAGCTTTAGCACAACCTAACTGGTAAGGCATGCGGTAGAGACTCGAGAAGGCAGGCGGGGTGCCCACGGGTGGCAGCACCAGAAGGATATTGAAACAGCCAGTTGGCTCCCCCTGAGAAGGGTGGGGTCTAGACCATAAGCAGGGATCTCCAGCCTACAGCACCAGAGCCCAAAAAGTACACAGATAACATCCAGCTGCAAAAAGCAGCAGGGTTGCTCTCTGCCAGAGACAGGTGGCTGGAGATGCAAAGAGCCTTTTAAAGGGCCAATGCATACATTTTTATTTGCAGCCACTTACTCTGGACTCCAGCAAAGGTAGGGCAGAGTGGGCTAGAGGTGCCTGAGGAGAGACTGGGGAAGGAGGCTTTGGCGGGAGAATGGAGAGAGTAGCCGGCAGGATCCCGGTGCCGACTCATCCCCTATGCAGCAGCAGCCATCTTGCTCAGGCAGTCTACTTCCCTGAGCAGCAACATTGTGAGCAGACACAACAGCCCTGCCCCAGGGGGACTCTGCCCTGGCCTGTTGGTGCTAAAGCCTGACAGATGACTATAGAGTGGAAGCCACAGATAGTAGATCTGGGGCTAAAAGGGGTACAGAGTGGTCTAGAGACACTTGAGGAGAGACTGGAGATGGAGGCTTTGGAGAGAGAACTGAAAGAGTGGCTGGGGGGATCCCAGTGCTGACTCATTCCCCACACAGCAGCAACCATCTGGCTTAGGTAGACCACTCCCCTGAGCTGCAGCAGTGTGAGGGACTCCGCCCTGCCCCGTGGTGTCTAAGCCTGACTGCTGAGTACAGAATGACTAGATTAACAACTGAAGGAGACAGCCACAAACAGTAGATTCCTGGAAGTCCTGAACAGACTGCCTAAGGTCAGACAGGGTCAACATCTGACATCATCAGATGCAGATTCAGAAAGAAAAAACAGCAGTCTCCTACCATAGAAGTTCACACCACAAAGTCAGGAAATCAAGACAGATCAATTTAAGAAGCAGAAACAAAAAAGAAGAGTCTCACAAATAATGGGAAGACAAAGAAACACCCCCCGGTTGAAGGGAAAAGCAGGAATCCCCAGAAAGAGAACTAAATGAAATAGAGGCAAGTAAACTACCAGATATTGAGTTCAAAACAATGGCTCTAAGGAAGCTCAAGGAGCTCAGTGAGCTCAGAGAGAATTACCAAAAACTACAGGGAAACTATGAGGGACTTACTGCAAACTATATCAGCATGGAAAAGGACATAGAAACTATCAATAAGAGACAAGAGGAAATGAAGAATATAATTTCTGAATTGAAGAACACAGTAGGAGAAATCAAAAGCAGGCTAGATGAAACAGAGGATCGAATCAGAGAGCTGGAGGATAAAGTAGAAAAAAGCTCCCAGAAAGAGCAAGAAAATGAAAAAAGACTCAAAAAGTATGAAGAGGCATTTAGGGAAATGCAGGAAAACCTGAAACGTAGTAATATCCGTATAATAGGGATACCAGGAGAAGAAGAGGAGGAAGAAGAGGAGGAAGGAGGAGGATAGAGAACCTGTTTGAAAAAGTAATGATGGAAAACTTCCCTAATTTGAGGAGAGAAAAAGTCACACAAGTCCAGGAAGCACAGAGGGTCCCATTCAAGAGGAACCCATGAGGCCCACTCCAAGACACATCATCATTAAAATGGCAAATATCAAAGACAAACAAAGAATCCTAAAGGCAGCAGGGGAAAAACAGGTATTAACATATAAGGGAGCCCCGGTATGGCCAGCAGCTGACTTCTCAACAGAAACACAAACCAGAAAGGAATGGCAAGAAATATTCCAAGTAATGAAAAGCAAAGGCCTGCAACCAAGACTGCTCTACCCAGCAAGCCTCTCAACTAAACTGGAAGGTGAAATAAGGAGCTTCCCAGACAAAAGAAGGCTGAAAGAATACACCTCCACCAAACCAGCATTGCAAGATATGCTAAAGGGACTGCTTTAAGAAGATGAAGAAAAAGAGTCTATGAATACCCAGTTCCTGTCACAGTCATCAGTACTTGATATTACCAATATTTTTAATACTTATGAATCTGAGTGTGACAGTGCTGTGTTATTTTAATTTTTATTTTATTATTTGTTGAAAGTAAACCTGTTTTTGTATATTTCTTGCCTATTTCTATTATTTTTAAAAAGCTTTAAATGACTTTTTGGTATTCTTTATCCATTTTTTGACTAAATGTTTGTAGAATTTTCCCCTAAAAAAATAAAACCAAACCCAAAACTATTAACCCTTTTTTAGATGTGTTGCAAATATTTTCCTATTCTATTACTTGTCCTTTTTTTGTATGTATGTTACTATATAGTCCTAAATGTTTAATATAGTCATATTGTCAATATTTTACTTTATAGCTGCTAGATTTGAATATTTTACCTCAGGGTAAGAAAAATATTATTTTGCATTTTCTCCTGAAACTCCTTAGATTTTATATATTGATTTTTAACTCACCTGAATATTTTTTGTATAGTGTGTAAAATAGAACTCTATATTTGTTTTATTTTAAGTCATAGTGGTTCATGCACCTTATTTATTGAATAAGCCTTATTTTCCCCATTGATTTGAAATATCAATTTAATCATATATTTCATTGCTAGACAGAGATATACATTTGTTTCTAGAATGCTCATTTTATTTCATTAATCTTAATTATTTCTGTGTTGGTGTCATATTGTTTTAATTGCTGAGACTTTATAATGGATTTAGATTTTTTAAATATTTCATAATTGATTTTGGCATTTAAAAAATAAATAAAATCAATCTGCATTAAAAAAAAGGAAGAAAGAAAGAACTCCTACCTTTTGTGACAACATGGATGGAACTGGAGAATATTATGTTAAGTGAAATAAGCCAGTCAGTGAAAGACAAATATCATATGATCTCACCTATAAGTGGAATCTATTCAACACAATAAACTAACAAACAAAATAAACCACAGGCACGGAAACATGGAGCAGACTGAAAGTGATCAGAGGGGATGGGGAAGGAAGACAATGGTGGAAAGAAGGAGAAGGGACTAGACAAAGAACATGTATGAATGGCCCATGGACATGGACAACAGCGTGGGAATTGACTGTGGGAGTGGGGGATGGGGGTGGGATGGGTGGAGGGGGGTAAAGGGGGAAAAATTGAGACAACTGTAATAGAATAAACATGATTTAAAAATTTAAAAAAATTAAAAAGATATAATCCCTAAAAAAAAAAAGAAATGGGGAAGAGGGTCACCTGGACTCAGCCACCTCCCCAAGCCCCAACTCTAGCTCGCCCACCTCCAGCTCGCCAGGTCTTTTCTCACGGCCGCTTCCTCTTTCAGACCTGCACGTTCATTGCCTGGTTTCTGCAGAGCCTCTGATGGGACCTCCCTGCCTTCAGTCTTGTCGCCTTCCTATTTGTTCTCCTTTCTGACTTCACTATACTAAGCCTGACAATGTCACATGTCCACTGGCCGCCCTCCTCCCTGACTCTGCGCCCCTGGCTTCATTTCTTGCCATTGCAGGCCTTGACCTTTATCCTCCGGAGCCTCAGGCAGACACTGCGGTGTATCTTTTGGAAGGAACGTCATTGTTACATCTCATTTTTGTTTCCCTCTCATCTTGAAGACCTGGCACAATAACCCCTGTTTCCACTACTTCTTCCGGGCTCACCTGACCTCTGCGGCCTTGTCTCTGCACTATATCATGTCAGTGATTGTGTTTGCTTCTGTGTCCCCTGCTGGCCAGCATGTTTCTCAGGGCACATACAGCATGCATCTGTCTGATACCTTGGACCTCACCGGCTCTGGGCTCCAGGCTGGGAACGGAGCCAGACGTTAGAAAATATTTGGCGAATGACTAAATGAACGAATCAATGAAAATGCACCCCTTCACTGTCACCCTGCCACGATCTCTTGCTTCATCTCTGTCCTCCTTTTCTCCTCCAGGTTACAAAGAAAATGATACCGAACCAGGTGAGTAGGGTGAGCCCCCCGCTGCAGGGAAGCCTCAGTTCCTGGGAGGGTATGTTCTGAAGAGGGTCACCTGAATGGTGCTTGTGGGTCTGGAGGAAGCAGGAATTTCATGTCAAGGGTTTACTTCCTAAAGAAGGATAGTCCGTGGCGGTCAGGACATACAGCCCCAGCAGCGTGGGGGAGAGTGCAGCAGGGCAGCCCGTGGGACGCGGAGCCTCTTTGAATTCAGCCCAGACTGTATCCCATCCGGGGGTGTGTCCCTTTTCTACACAGAAACCTTTGGGTTCTAAACTGTTTCTTTGCAAACGGAGCACCTGCAGAGCCTGGCACTTCTGGGTCTTCCTGTCTTTATCCTTAGACCTCAAGGGTGGACGGCGGGTTTATTCTGCTTATTCAGGCACCTCCCCTGTGAAAGGTACACTCTGATTTGTTGTGAATCATTTGACTAAGTTAGTCATCCCTGCTTACGTCCCTGCTCCACCCTCATTCCCTCTCTCTACGCTCTTCCCAACCTATTTTATATGTTCAATATGTATCTTTCTCTTGGTGTGTTCTCATGAAAACACATATTGCAGTTTTGTATGCATGTGTTTTTAACGTACAGAAATGGCATGTGCTCTGGGCCTCTTTCTGTTTCCTACTCTTTTCCTTCAGCCCCATTAAAAAAACCAGTTCATTTGGCAATGATTTTAAGCTTACAGAAGACTGAAAATGCCAGCAGTGCAAAGAACACACATACACACAACATTTTCTCAGAATCAGTTACGCAGGACATAGGACATGGTTCTTTATCTCTAAATACTTCGGTGTGTATGTTCTAATATTCTCTCAGATAACCATAGTGCACTTACCAGCTTCAAAAATTTACACTGATGCCATACTTTTATTTCCTGTCCATATTTCTGTTTGGTCAGTCCTCTGCATCCCTACCAGCAGTTTGTGAAGCTGTGTGTATTGCTACAGGTCTATCAACCTTTGATACAACCCATCTTTTACATTTTTTTGCTAACCTAATAGGTTAAAAAAATGACTCCTTGATTAATTGACATTTTTCTCATTACCAATTAGTTTAAGCATGTTTTAATGTGCTATTATTGGCCTACTGAGTTTTTTCTTGTAATAAATTGCCTGTCCTTATAATTTTCATATTGTCTGTTCTTTTTTTCTTGTTGATTTTCTTGTATATTCCTAATGAAAGTCTCTTACTGATTTTAGACATTGGAAATATTGCCTTCCCATCTGTCACCTGTCTGTTAACTTTGTTCCTGGGCTCAGAAAGCCTTCATTCTATGTCATCAGGGTTCCAAATTTAATGCTTTATGGTGTGTGTTTTGAGGTTCTGTTTTAGGAGTCCTTTCCTACCCCACATGGCATGGTCTGCTGTTAACTACAGTTTGACCTTTTTTGATTAGGTCTTCCAGTGCTAAGAGACAGGAATCCAGTTTTGTTTTTCTTATTTCTTCTAGAGTGAACTGGTTTTCCCAGCACTATATGCTTAGTGAGCTGCCCTTTACCCCCCAGCTGTGGGTACCGCTGTGGAACTTATCTTTACAATAAGTTCCTGTAGTCCATGGAGCAATCTCTTATGTTGGCTATTCTTTTCCTTTGGTCCTCGTCAGTGCCACGCTGTTTTTATTACTATGGCTTTGATGTGTGCCTTAATGTCTTCAAGGACAAGTGTCCCTTCTTTGACCTATTTTTTTAATGTCTGAGCTATTCAGGAAACTTTGTTTTTCTATTTCAATTTTAGAGTAAGCTTATCAAATTTCTTAACAATTCTAACTTGGAAAGTGACTTTATAGAATTAATTTGGGGAAAAATTGTCACCGACGAAGGGCATATTGCCCTCCCTCCTCCCCTACCCAAGATAGAAGTCAAAAGCAGAGATGAAACCAATTTGAAAGGAAGTTTACCGGAAACAAGAGGGAGGGAAAGGAGGGAGGGAGGGAGCTCGGTGCACCGAGGGAGCCCCTTGTGTGTTCCCTTGCTGAGCATGCTCCCCATACTGAGCATGGCTCCCCGGCTGCTGCAGTTGGGCTTATATAGCTCTGGGTTTCTTCCCGCAGGTGTGGAGTGGGCCTCTTTGTTCTCCAGGTTCCCACTGTGTGCTGGCGCAGACCAGGGAAGGCACAGACATGTCGGTGTGGGGAGGGCCTGAAGAGAAACTTTAATCTTATCTAGGAGAGGCTTAAAGAGTAACTGAAGAACATTCCCATCCATCCTGAGAAAGGTTCCGCTGGTCTCAGAACTACATCTGAAATATTTAGTTGTTCTATATAAGAGCAACAGATGTCTCTCCATTTATGCCAATTAATTTTGGAGTCCTTTATTCAAATTGTAGATGTATTGACACAGAAATCTTGTGTAGTGTGAGATAAGTTAATTCCTTGGTGCCTTATACATTTTTGCTATTGAAAATGTATACTGATTTTGAATCTATTTTTCTGTTGGTTGTGCTGGGATAGAGAAAAATTACTGACTTTAATAGTAAGTTGTCGAAGTATTATATACACACAAAAAGTGCGCAAGTTATACGTGTCCAGCTCCAGAAATAATCAACAGCGAACACACCTGTGCAACCACCAGCGAGGTGAGCAGAGCAGCAGCAGCAGCACCGGAAGGCCCCCGGTGCCCTCCTCACAAGAAGTGCCATTATTCCCGAGTCTCGCGTGCAGCCGATCTTTCTCCTGTTCCTCAGGGTTATATGACATTTTATGTAGCTTTGTGGCATATAATGTTTATAAAGTCAATGATTTCCTCTCTATTCCTAGTTTGCTAGGTAAGAGGTTTGTGTGTGTGTGTGTTTAGGTACAAATACGTGTTGAATTTTTCCAGTGCCTTTTTCTGTGTGTATTGAGAAAAGCACGGGGTCTTTTTTGTAGAGAATACACCCAGGGCTCCCCCATTGAGAGACCACCCTTGTGCTCCTGGGACAATCTCTTCATGATTACAGTGCAGTATTTTATAAAAATATGATGTTGGTTAATATTTTATTTATAATATGAGCATCTTTGTCCATTCATGGAGCCGTAGAACTTGACTGTTGGAACTACGTGCACACGGAGAGTGTAAGCTGTGAGGGGCGGCCCCAGGCTGGGTTCCTTCTTGAATGGCCTGGGTAGGATCAGAAGTCTGCAGCTTGTCTGTGCTCTGAGCCTCGCGGGCCTCTGAGAGAGGCAGCCAGCATTAGAGCCGTTCAGGAACGTGGCCTAGGAACTTACTCCAGACACGAGAAAATGCAGTTTTTGTCCTGGGGCTTCTTCCGTGCTTCTCCCTTGTTTTGAGGTTCTGTGCTGCCAGTGTGTCTTGGTATCTCTCTCTTCCCTCCTCTGATGTCTCTATCTTGATGCATTTTGTCTCTGTCGCTGTCATTTTCTGCCTGGCTCGGTGCCTTTGGGCAGGCCGCTGCCCTTCTCTGCCTCTTACGGAAATGGGAACAAGACCCGGGTTTACAGCCTTGTGCGAGTTGCCCCGGGGGGACCTTGGTCTCAGTCATTCTTATCCTTCTCTGTGTGGTCACTGTGTCTCCTTGGCACACTTGTTCCTAAAGCTTGTGGCAAACCCTGGTGGTCGGAGGATTTGGATGGGACCCGCCACTGGCCCTGGGAGGTGAGCCTCCAGCTGGAAAGAGAACACGTGTGTGGAGGGGCCCTCATTGACCACAAATGGGTGGTGACCGCGGCCCACTGCATCCAAGGGTGAGTATGGCCCACGTCCCCAGGGCCTGGGACCGAGGGCTGCAACAGGCCTGGCCCAGCTTCCTTCTTTCTCCTGTGAGGCAGCTTGAGAGTAGGGAGCGGGAAGCGATGTTTGGAACAGAGGAGCCACGCTCAGGATCTACCGGGGACCAAGGACTGAACTGGGACAGGAGCTCCAAGCAACAAAGGCTGCATCCTAAACAGGGCAACAGACTGACTCAGTATAGAATCCCCAATCCCCACGTGAGAAAACATACATGTAGACCAACACCTACATACACAGCACATAGACCAGGCCACCTTGCATCAACCTGAAGGACAAATGGGGAGGCAGTCGTATCTAAGGGAGAGGGCCCTTGGCGGGGGTTGGGGGCATCGTGCTGCTTGGGTCCCTGCCATCTACCAGGGGGGGCTCTGTGTCCCCTGTAGCACCAAAGAGTACTCGGTGACCCTCGGCACCTCCCAGCTGAAGCCCTCGGACCCCAGGAAGGCCATCTCGATCCCCGTGAGTGACATCATCCTGCACCCCAAGTACTGGGGCCGGATCTTCCTCATGGGCGACCTTGCCCTTCTCCGGCTTCACACTCCCGTCTTCTTCAGCAAGTACGTGCAGCCCATCTGTCTCCCCGAGCCCACCTACAACCTGAAGGTTGGGACACAGTGCTGGGTGACCGGCTGGGGCCAGGCTAAGCAGCGCTTCTCAGGTGAGCAGGATGGGGGTGGGTGCGGTCAGTTCCTCCAGGGCCTTGCCTGTGGGACCGCCGCGTGGTGCCTCTCAGGAAGCCCATGGCTGCTCCCTCCAGCCCCTGATTCTGGGGTGGGTGAGGACTGCCCCTTGCGTGGGAACCATTGTCCATTGTTGTGGGCACCTCATCCCGGCCTAGTCTTGCCTGGGCTGGGCAGGATCATTTGCCTCACAGAAGCTCAGAGCCAGGGAGCCACCAATTCACTCACTCACTCATTTGTTCACTTGAACTGTAAGCATCTGCCCCACGCTCGTTGCTGGGAGCATAGGCCCTGCCTGTTGGGAGCTCATCCCTGAGCTCGGAGCGGGCACAGGCTGACAGGGAAAGACGTCAGGTGACCTTGTGCTGTAGCCCAGAGGGGTCTGGGAAGAACACTGGGCAGAGGATCTGCCTGAACTGCCTGTGGGGGCAGAGAGTTTGATTCAGGTGGCACAGCCAGTGCAGCGGGTCAGGCTGCACAGCAGCGGCGTGTGGCTGGCATCCCCGTGCGTCAGTGGTAGCGCGGCAGCGTGGATTGTGGCCTGCTTGGTTCAGAAGCCAGAGCTTCCCAGAGAAAGGCATCCTGAAACACAGCTGGTGGGGGTGAAGGGGGGGGCGAGTGAAGGGCTGGCCAGGCCCGGTCCTCACGGCAGCGGGAGGGGCCCAGGAAGGAGGGCAAGGAGGCATCAAGGGACATGACTTGACCGAGTCTCCAGGGTAGAGGTGACAAGACACTGGGAAAAGACCAGGGCTGAGTGGAGTGAAGCATTGGTTCTCACCCCACTGGGCTGGGCTCCTCCACAGTCAACTCCACGCTGGCCCCAGAGCTGCAGGAGGCCGAGGTGTTTATCATGGACAACAAGAGATGTGACCAGATTTACCGCAAGAAGTCCCGCATCCCCCGCATTGTCCCCCTTGTCTTGGAGGACATGATCTGTGCCACCAATTACGGAGAAAACTTGTGCTATGTGAGTTTCGGGGAGGTCCGGGGAGCTCCCCTTCCATTGGGGACGATGCCCTGGTGCGGGGGGAGTCCCCAGGGAGGGGTCTGCTTGGCCTCCCTTCTGTCGCCATCACCAGGCAGCACTCTGCTCCCATCTTTCTTCCCCTGTGACTTTGATTTTGCCTAGTATTCTGGGAAGGGGTCCCCAACAATGAAGCTAAAGGAGGACCCCAGGTAGCGAGATCCTGAAGGAGTGAAAGAATCTTCCAAGAGGAATGCAGAGGGTGGGCACTCCGGGTCCCCTGTGTCCCCTGGGTCCCAGCTGAGCCCCGAACCTGTCACTCCCCTGTCTTTGCCTAGGGGGACTCTGGGGGCCCATTGGCTTGTGAAGTCGAGGACAGATGGACCCTGGCTGGAGTGTTGTCCTGGGAAAAGGCTTGCGCCAAAGCACAGAATCCAGGGGTGTATACACGTGTCACCAAATACAGCAAATGGATCAAGAATCAAATGAGCAACAGGGCTCTCTCAGGCCCCTGCACCTCTGTCTGGCTTCTACTCCTGTCCTGGCTGCTGCAGCCCCAAGTGGGCCCCTGATCTCGCCCCCTTCCTTTCTTCTTCCTGCTTTGCCTCTGCTGAATGGAGCCAGATCAAGGACAGACCAAGGCCACGTGTCCGTATTCGGCAAGAGTCAATGTGGGGATAGAGCGGCCCCGGGACACCTGGTCCCAGTAGGGAGGGATGTGCTGGATGGCTAGGCCTTGGTCGACTCAGAGAAGGGAAGTATGGCCTAGCAGGGCTCTGGAATTGGGGCCCAGAAGAGCAGGGATTAAATTTGTGTAAATGTGACCTGGTTCTGTTCTCTTTTCTGCGTGGCCTTGGTTGCTGGGGGTGGCTGGGAGGGCAGGGTCCCTTGGAATTCATTATACCAGGTGCCTCCCCAGAGCAGCGGCTGATGGTTTTCCTTCATCACCAGGGCTGGGGCACAGGGAAAGGGCTTGAGGTCTCAGTTTCCTCATCTGTGAAGTGAGCATGCGGTAAGGGGGCAGCTGACAGCGGGAGGGACCCCCATACAGTGCTCCAAATCAGCTTTGACTTTTTAAAATGGCATTTAAAAATACTGATTACAAAAGCATTACATGTTCATGGCTAGTTTTTCTTTCACTTTAAACAAAAATTATAAGCAATGTCGGAATACATTCCCCCAATTTACTTAAAAAATTCAGAAATACACGTAAAGATCTCCCCCTCTCAGCCACCCGACCACAGTGCTGTTCTCTTACCTAGAAGCAATCACTGGTAGCGTCCTTAAAATAATATATCTTTATGATTTTAAATAAACGATTTTAAACATATGTATTATTAATAACCTACATTTAAAAAAATTGAAAACCTATGTCAGTACATAGAGTGATGCCTAATTTTACATGACTGCCTGTATTCTGTGCGAGGTGACAGAGGTCACCTAACCAGTATGCTTTTTAGGCTGTTTCTGGCTTGTCAGCATAGTGGCCGTCGTGAATACCCTCCTGCATGCACAAGGTGTGGTGGGGGGACAGTCCAAAGAAACACAAATTTAATCATTTCAGATGAATACTATCAAATTCACCTGTGCCCAGAATGGAACCAGTTTATATTTGCACCCATTGTATACAAGAATGAGTTTCCCCTGATGCTAAAAGTGGGTATCATTAATCTTTAAAACTCATGTCCATCCAGTGGTAGAAAGTTATATCATTGCTGTTTTAATTTGCATTTTCTTGATTGGTAAAGTACTTTCTCATGTGTTTATTGGAAAAAAAACACGTGTTCCTTTCCTCAAGTGAATCCTCTGTTCCTATACTTTGCCTGTTTTAACAATTGGGTTGCTTATCTTTTCTGATGGGAAGGTCTTCAGCTTTTCTGAATATTAAGCCTTTGTCAATTTTACAAATATTTTCTCCAGTGAGCCACTGGTCTTTTAGAAATATATGGAATGGATGGGTAATTTTTCCATAAACACTTTTAAAATTATTACAGTCACGTCAGTCTTTACTCTCCTTACAAGTTTTGTAAAGCTTTACTTAAGATGGTCTTCTCCACCTCCAGAGGACAAAAGCTAACTTCCTATATTTCTTTTAATGTTTTGATAAATTTATTTTGTATGTGTAACTGTGTAAGCCATTTGAAATTTCTGTCTATATGTGGTGTGAGGTGGGGATCTAACAATTTCCAACTGGAGGACCAACTCTGTTGACACTGTTCTCTGGAGAGTCCATCCTTTTCCTGCTGATTTGAATGTCTACATTTGTAATAATGAAATTTTAATATATCTATGGGTATGTTTTTTAAATCTCTATTATTTGCCCACTGATCTGTGTCCCTGGGTTAGTCTGTCCCTGGGTTAGTGCTGTACTGTTTCAATCAGCTTTATGTAATGTTTTGTTAAGTGATAGCAGAAACTCTCCTTCATCTCATCTTCATCTTCATTGTTTGTCTTTCATTTGTCTTCATTGTTCATCCTCATTGTCTCATCTTCAAAGTTTGTCTTTCAGGCCAGCTTTAGAATCAGTTTGTTTCTGTTATTTCTGTTAAAAATTCTATTGGTATTTGAATTGAAATTAAATGCACAGACTAATTTGGGGACAACTGTCATTTCTGCAGTATTGATTTCTTAACCAGGGATATGGTATTTGTCTCCATTCATTCAGCACTTCTATTCATGGCTGTCTGGAAAAATGCTGAGTTTATTTTTAAGTATTTTATAAGCTTTGGCTATGTTTGTTGTGGATAATATCTTTTCCCAGTACATTTTTTTGTAATTCTACATGTGAAGTATTTTAAAATTGTTGGTGGATTTAAAAAAAAAAATAGTGATCTTGATTCCTGGCCATTTTGCAAAACTATCTTATTTAATTCACTAGCTCTTCAGTGGATTATCTTGGCTTAGTTTTGGGGTCATCAAATTACTTAAAATGGTGACAGTTATATCTTGTCCTTTTTGAAAGCATATCATTTCTATTTCTTTTGTTATCCCATTGCCAGAGACCCCCAGCACAATGGGAAGTGGTGGCCATGATGCTGGGAGTTCATGTGCCATCCTGGCTTCATTCTTTCATTCACTCCACATACACTTACTGGGAGTCTTCTCTGTGCCAGGCACTGTTTTTGGCCCTGGTGACTCAGTAGTGAATTATTGAGATGATTATATGGTTTTTCTTATTTATTCACATAATAAAATATACTACTAGATCTCAATGGGTTTCTTAGGTGAATCCTATGATACAATGTAGACTCAGTTTGGTGGTGTTATGTTTAGGATTTTTGTCCCAATGTTGGATTGGCCTATAGTTTTCCTTTTTTTCCACCCTTTGTTCAAGTTTGGTGTCATTGCTATACTAGCCTCTTAAAACATGTTGAGAAGTCTTCTAGTATCTTCCTATGGCTTAGAGCAGTATGTATAACACAGCATTATTGGTACGTTAGGTTTGGTGGATTGTGCACATAAAACTCGCTGGGCCTGGTGCCTTTTCTAAAAATCTTTGACCATTTAAAAAATATCTTTTATGATTATTGGCCTGGTTGGGTTTTTCAACCTCTTTTTGCATTAATTTCTGTATAGAAAAATCACTTAATTTAACTTAGAATTTAAATTGCAAACTGATGATGTATAAAACTTGAACTATGGCCCCTTTATTATTTCTAATATTATTTATATGTGTACTCCCTTTCCTTTTTTTCCTTTTTAATTGTTTTCTTTTTTATTGGTTCCAGAGAGAAGGGAAAGGGAGGGGGAAAGAGAGGGAGAGAAACATCGATGTGAGAGAGACACATCTATCATCTGCCTCTTGCATGTGCCCCAACCGGGGACTGAACCCGCAATCCAGGTATGTGCCCTGACTGGGAATTGAACCTGAGACCCTTTGGTTTGTGAGATGACAGCCAACCAACTGAGCCACTCTGGTTAGGGCCCCTTTTTCTTAAAGACAGAATCACCAGATTTTGGTCTATTTCATAGATGTTTTCAAAAAACCATCTGGTGCGCTTTTGTCAGTCAGTTTTTTGGTATCCACCCTGTCCTCATGTTACCCCAGGTCCCGGTCAACAAGCCACCCCCTCTGCCATGCTGCTCATGTGCTTCAGGGGGAAGCAGTCACACTGCCAGCTCCCAGGAGGGGTGGCACACAACTGCTACATGCAGCTGGCATGGCCCCCTACCCCGGCCACCTGACCTCAGTGGGTTATCCCTGTCAGCATCAGGCCCTTCTAAGCCAGAGCCACACCCCCTCCCTCTGCGTGCAGAGGAGGAAGCAGGAGCAGGTGGGCTGTTGGCAAACATTTTTCAACAAGGGGACCATCTCAGAATGCAGCTGCCAGCACTGAAGAGAGGAGACAGAAATGTTAAGCCTGTCTGAGTGGAAGTGTCTCTTACTTGGGCACTCCTGAATGGTGCAAACTAACTTTTGGTTTTAGTGATCAAATCTGCTCCTGCCTGTTCATTTTATTTCATTAAAGCTCATTTAGCTTTAGTAATTCCAAGCATTTACGTTTGAGTAATTGTTTTCTTTTTTATTGATTCCAGAGAGAAGGGAAAGGGAAACATCTATGATTTATTTTATTGTTCTTTTTCTAACTTCTTGAGTATGCTCAGTTCATCATTATAGACTTCTTTGGTTTCTAATATTTTCACTTAATCCCATAAAATTCCCTCTGAGTCTTACTTTGGCCATATTTCATAGGATTTGATATGTACTGACCTCATTGTCTTTCATTTTTATATTTTCAATTTCATACTCTATTTCTTATTTAACCCGAGTTAAATAGACGGGTATTATTTAATTTCCTGATGGATAATTTGGGGAAAGGGTAGAAGCTTTTCTTTTTTCTCTATTAAAAATTATATCACAATAAGGACTTAATTATTTCTGTGTTTTGGAATTGATTGAGGTTTTATTTGTGCCTGTTTCATGTGCATTTGAAACAAAAGTGTTGTGTGTTTTGAAACAGAGTTCTAGCTATAACTTGGATCAGGCGTGTTGATTGTGTTATTCAAATCCTCTCAACACTTCCCATATTTTATGTCTGTGTAATCCGCTGACTTCTGAGAGGTTTACCACAGGAATTAAGACTTTGTCTATTCCTTCTTGCAGTGATAATAATTCTTACTTTATGTTACAAAGCTGTGCCATTGAGAGAGCAAGGTTTGTGCCTACTATGCCATCTTGAGGGGGTATATGCCCTATCATTATACAGTATGACTTTGTTCTAATTAATATTTGTGTGCATTTTTCAAAGATCTGGCTCATATCATAGAGTTCATTTCTAATTATGCTGTTCTAATGGATTTGGGTATAATTTTATATTTTGTACATGTTTACTACAGATTTTCCTTGGGTTTATTTTGTACCTTTAATAGCGTCTTTATTCAAGCATTTAATTCATTTATTTTCATTTTTGATACACAAAAATAAATACATCTATGGTAATGGATTTGCCTTGAACACACACAATAATTTTTTTTTACTCTAATTATTAGTATTTTCTAAATAGTTTATAGGATGTTTTTATTTCCTCAAATAAATTAAGTTTATTTAAAATTTTCCAGATAACTTGGTTTATTTATCTTACTCTTTTATTATTAAATCCTTGTTTCATTGCATCATGGTAAAAAATGTGGGCCAAACTAGGTCAACTTTTAGGGAAGTTATTGTGGTTTCCTTAGTAGTCTAGTGTGTGGTTGATTTTTATAGATATTTCATTCCTCAAAGACATAGAGTTGAAGACTCTCCCACTACAAGTGAGGGTTCTCAATTTCTCATGAATCACTGGTTGATTTTGCTTTATATGTTTAATGTTATTTATGAGCAGAACTTTATGGTGTTATACAGTCATAATATTTATCATTTTCCAACATAAATTAATTTTTTATGTTTAAAGCTTTTATGACAAGTCGCATTTTTAGAAATTAACATTGTCATTTTTATTTTTGCTTACATATACTTACTATTTTTTGCCCATCTTTTTACTTTCAACTGCTTTATGTCACTTTATTTTAGGTGGGTCTTTAATAATTATCATGTGAGTAGATTTTTTTTCTACCCAATAAAAGAATCTTTGACTTTTAAAGTTTTTTTGGTCTTCACCTTGGTGGTAATAATGGATATGTGTTTTTATTCAATTATCTGGCTTTGTTTTATTGATTGTTCCCCACAACATATTTCTCTCTCTCTCTCCCCTCCCCCTGCCACTTCCCCCTGGAGGAAATTTGATTGTAGGGATAATCATTTCCTTGATTGTCTACCATGTATCCCTAAAAATAGTTTGTTTTGCTTGTTTTTGAATTTCATAAATTATGTGCCCTTTTGTGTCTGGCTTCTTTCACTTGAAAATATGTTGATAAGATTTACCATGTCCCTTGTCCTCGCTCTTGAGGACTCTGTGCTTCCACCAGGCCTTTGAAGGCACTTGTGTGGCTTCCGCTGGGGCTCTGCCCTGCAGCGCTGTGTGTCTTTTCTGCTGCCTCCGGCTGGTGCGGGCCGGGACCAGGGCATGCAGCCGGGAGCGGAGCGGCCCTGTGTGGGGTCGGCGCGGCGCCTGCTTTCCTGCGTGATCCTGAAGCTCTCCATAGCAGTGGCCCCATTGCATCTCCTCAGCAGCGTGTGAACAACCTCGGTGCTCCGTGTCCCCGACGACACTGGCAATGGTGTGGGGCAGGAGCCAGCTGCCCCCATGGAGAGTGTGAGGAGCATGAGACCATTGCGAGGGGACCTCAGTGGAATGAGGTGGGGAGGAGCCCCCAGATGCCATTTATTCTGCTGATTCATGAAGACCCAGGCCTGCGAGCTGCCGCCTCGCGCCGCCTTCCTAGGTTCGGAACTCCGGCCGCCCTCCTCCCAGGACCTCTTCTCCTGAAACTGTGAAACCCCGGGGGGAAAAGGAAAACTCTAGTTGCAGCTCAGTCACCGCAACAGGAACTAGCCCTCCCATTCTCCATGCCTCAGGCCCCATCCTTCCAGGGGCCTTCAGAGGGTGTCAGAAAGGAGCTTGGACCAGACATGAGGGATGCCTCATGGGCCAGGCACCAGGAGCCGTCACCAGCTAGACACGGGGTGCTGTCACAGCCTCGGGATTGGGCATCCAGGGATGCCTTCAAGACTCAGGCTAAGCCCAGGAGGCACTGCCACGGGCCAGACACCGGGTGCTGTCACAGGCTTGGGGCCAGGCACCAGGGGCACCATTCTAGGCAGGCGCGTGGTGGCAGCGTCACATCGTGCCCCCGTGGGGCCCTGCCATGACCACATTGTCTCCTTTTCAGCAGTCCTGATGCTGCTCCAGCCGGGAGAGCCCCCAACCGTGGGGCAGAGGCTGGCTCCTGGCTACCCTGAATAAACAAATCCTGAGTTCTAGAATTCTCGCACATTGGAGATGCCCAGCCACTGCCTTGTCCCCACATCCCATTAGTAGGGCCAGGTGGCCGAGCACCAGCTTGCCATGGCGTGTGGGCCAGGAGATCTCCAGGGCTTCGCATCACCGTTTTCTTTTGGAAGACTTGGGACTTCCCTCTTTGTGGAAGGTAGGGCTTTGGGGACATGGACAGGGGCAGGAGGGGTCTGTTTGCCTGGCTGTCTGTGTCCGCTGCCCTCATACCTGATGGGTGCATCTTCACTGGACTTCATGGTGTGCCAAGCCCGGGGACCCAGACAGTGCCGAGGCCGTTCCAGTTTGCAGGGTAACATGAACACAAGGGGAGAATCATATTAAAAGCGGGGCACAAGCTAACATCTGTGGAGCAGCTGAGCTTGTTTGGGGGGCACACTAGGATGACTGTGTGGGTGACTGCTGACCCTCTGTAAGGCACCCGTCAGCTGGCTCATGTCCTGACAGCCCGGGAGGCGGGCTTTGTTAGCACCCCCTCCCCATTGGAAGCCAGAGAACTCAAGTGCCCCGTGGAGTCAAGATCCAATACCAGCCTTCAGTAGGCTCTTTGGGGATGAAAAGTTTGGGGCCCCAGGTGACAGAACGTCTCTGGCACCCCCCTAGCTCTGTGTGGCGGTCCTGGCTCAGGGTCACCTGCCCACTGTGTGGAGTGGGCAGCTGCTTGTGGCTGCTGCAGGGTGGCCCGTCTGCCTGCACGGTCTGCCATGGGCAGGGCTCCGGGCGCTGCCTTTGCCGCCTGAGAGTCTGCACAGGCCTGGCGCGGCCCCTTCTCTGTCTTCTTCCTCAGAGCCCTGGTTCTGGGGCTGCGGTCACACCAACATGTCCTGCAGGGTGGTGAAGGGGAAAGTGGTGGAGGTTGGCAAGTGGCCCTGGCAGGTGAGCATCCTGTTCCTGGGTGCGTACATCTGCAGCGGTTCCCTCATCCACCACCAGTGGGTGCTCACGGCCGCGCACTGCCTGCAGAGGTCAGTCAGGGTGGCAGGCGGCCCAGGGGCTTTGCTTCCTGGCCTGGGGGGCTCTGGGGGGCCCTGGTGGACCTGGGACCCCTGGGAGGAGCAACCGTCCTGCTGATGATCCGCCACCTACCCACGGCCCTGCAGGTCCATCGATCCCAACCAGTACTCCGTGATGGTGGGGGTCCAACACCTCCCAGAAAACGGCACTCAGCTCCCACTCTCTCGCATTGTGGTTCACGAGAATTTCAAGAACCTCATGTCCAACGACATTGCCCTCCTGAAGCTCAGGGACCCCATCTACTGGTCCCCGCTCGTCCAGCCTGTCTGCCTGCCTGCCATCAAACTCGTGCCATCTGTTGGAACCTTGTGCTGGATGATCGTGTGGGGACGTCCTAATATACAACGTGAGTGGAGGCAGGCCGGGTTTCCAGAGCACAACTCCACCATGGGCTCATTCCTTCCTTCATCCGCTCACTCCACCAGCAAATGTGTCCTGAGCTCTCCCGCACCGTGCCGCACCCTCTCCTAACCTCTGTCAATAGGAAGACACACACGGTGCTCTAGTGTAGAAGAGACACGTGGCCCGTGGACCTCAGCTTCCAAAGTTAAATCCGATGCCAGGCCGTCACCTTGCGGCATGGTAGGAAATTAATCCTTGACCAGTAATGGGCTTCCCTGTTGACAGGGGGCGCTGAGGCATTGGGCAGCCGGACACCTATTGCCTCAAGACACCTATAGTTTCTGCAGTTTTGCTGCCTGTTGGTGGCACTCTGGGGTTCTAGAATCTAGAAGCCTTTGTGGGGTCCTGTCTCCCAGAGGGTGGCACACCCTGGGCTCCAGGTTCCTGCCCCATTGTCAGGGAGCCACGGAGCAGTGATCAGCCCTTCACTCTCACGGACCCTGAATTCCTGGGGTAACCTCTCTCCTTGCCTTCATTTCAGTGCCTGGGCCTTGCTCTAAGCCCCCTGAGAGACTTTTGCTTATTCTTGTTAATGAGCTTGGGCTTTTCCAAAAGTCAGGCTATGGGCTGGGCCTTATAAGTCGTCACCCCAGAAAATGGCCCTGCCTACCACCTCAGGGAATGTGGGTAACCCCAAGGTGGAGTTCCTTCAAATTGTTGAAGAGATGCCAAGACAAGCTTTCTCTCTCTTTAGAGACCCCAAAGGCCCCCTACAGTCTTCAGGAGGTGGCTGTCAGGATCATAAACAATAGGATCTGCAAGGAGCGGTACCAGTTCCTCTTCCTGAAGGACCGGAAGACATTCATTGGGAAGGACATGCTGTGTACCAGCTCAGAATTGGGTGTAGACTCTTGTCAGGTGTGGCGTGTGTGGCCCCGGGGCAGGGAGGGGGCTTTTGGGACCCTGCCTTTTTACATGACCCTGGGAGACCATATGCAAACCTCCTTTCTCCAGGGCTCAGCTCCTAAGTCAGTGAAACTGGGGTGAAAATACCCTGCTCCTGTCCACGGTGAAGATCGTAGTCATTTGAGTGTCTGAACAGCAATCCGTCACATGCCTGGGTCTGAGCCGGGCACTGGCAGGGCCAGTTTTGCATAAATGGCCTCATTCTATAAACAGGCTTCTGCCTCTTGCATCTTCTATTCAACATCGTTTTTGAGATTTAGCCATAGTGATACATGCAGCTCTAACTCATTAATTAGCTCTGTCTACCATATACTCTTTGGTGAATATGTCTGAGTTTAGCCATTCTACAAATCTTTTTGTACAATGTATGTGAGTATGCAAAATACAAAGTTAATTCTCATACTATTACTTATTAATTATTGTATTATTTTCCATATAGACAAGTGTAAACCTACTTCTGCCCCACCCTATAGTTGGTGAGGCAAGTCCTCCTTCATTATTCTTCCTTTAGAAAATTTACCTTGCAGTTTTCCCACATTCATTCTAATTGAACAATTGTTGTGCAATGTAAAAAAGAAAATCATGTGACAATTTTAGAGGACATTAATAATTTTAGGGAAAATTCACTTTTTATTTTGCTCCATTTCTTTATGTCCCTAGAGCAGGAGTTTATGACTTTATGTAGTTACTGCATGCTGCCTCTTAAGTTTATTCCTAGTAGTTTTCTATCTCTATTGTGAGCAGTATGTTTTTTTTAATTGCATTTTGTATTTGTATTATAGATTGATTTTTTAATTTTCTTTTATAAATAGCAACCTTCCTGGGTCTAGCTGATTCTCTTTAATTTTGAGAGTTTGTATGATATATTTGCCTCTTTCTTTTCTATGTGTATGTCCTGTATTTCTTTTTTCCTTTTGTCTGTTACAATGTCAAGAACTATATTCTAAAACAACTTCTTGTCTATCAGGAGATGCTGTGCCGTTTTGTTTTAGGTATGTCTCTTATAAACAGTATAAAACTAGATGCCATTTTTCAGCACATCAGGGAGTCTTTCCTTTAACAGGAAGAATGCTCTTTTTGTTCCCCCGCCTTACAATTTGCTTTGATTTTTTTTTTCCCACTCCACTGTACCCCCTGTACTGGTTTAGAAGGTGTCATATCTCAATTTCACTCTGCTACTGATCATCTTATATTTTCCACACACATATTTAAACTTGAATTAACAGCTAGAGTTAATGTCTCCAGCTTCGTCTTTAGCAGAGGGAGGACTTTTCTTCATTTCACTTTCTACAGGTCTATCCCCCAGACTCATCCTCTTATGGAAAACATCTGGGGGTTCAGCTTCCTGAACTCTTTCATTAGATCGAAGAGTTTTGAGTTGACTCTCTTGGGCTTTCCAGTTTTACACACCTATGAGCTGCAGTTAGTAATAATTTCATCTCCTGCCCCGCCCTCCCCCATGATTTTTACTTCTTTCATTAGTTTGGGTACCTCTCCCCAGAACAACCTGAAATCACAACTCTTCTTTTCCTTGTTGCCGACCACATGGGAGTGCTTCTGGCGCTCTGTCAGGAAGCGTGGTGCGATTTTGGCACCTCATCTCTGGGGAGAGAGCCACTCCTTTCTGTTCTGTTGTGGCGTTTTATTTCAGGAGAGAGCGCCCTGCTTTGTGAAGTGAGTTTTCTGCAGCTGTCTAGATGACCGTCCGCTCTGACTCAGCGGGCGCAGGCTTTGGGAGAACTCCTTCCCCGCGTCCGGCTGCCCTGCGCGCCAGGGCCGTCCCTCCCTGGTCATGGTGTACTTCTGTTTCATTCATTTGATAGATTCAGATTTATAATATCTTTTTTTAAAACATGTTTAATTTATTTATTCACCCAACAGACAGCCTGTGCTGGATCCTGGGTCCGGCACAGTATGACGCTGGAGCGCGGCCCAGGAAAGCTACTGGCCTGGGAACGAGCAATTCCGTGTGGCTCGGTCCGCTCGGCACGGTGCACACAGCCTCTGTGTTTTTCTTGTTTTCTTCCTCCAGTGAGGCCGGGCTCCATTAAGGTGTGTTGAGGAAGGCACCCTCTTTGTTAAGTTCTAGAATCAAGATTGCTTCATGTGATTCACTAATGTACCATGTTCTGGAACATTTGAAATGAATTATCTTCTTCTTGAACTCTGGATAGAAGTTGCTGATGAAACCACATAGGCCTGTTTTCCTTTGAGGGGGTAGTTCTTGGGCCATGTTTCAGGATACCCATGCTTATTGGACTTACAGGATTTGCATTCTCTTAGAAACTATTCACTTCATCCAAAATTTAAATCTATCCAGAGGAAGTTTTAAACATTCTTCAGATTCTGAGAAAATATACTCTCCCCGGGTGTGGTTCTCATCTCTTTTCTCCTCACACCATGTAATATTTGCATTTTCCTTCTCTTCCTGTTTTTCCTGGTGAGACTTACAAGGTGCTTATCTATTTTGTTGTTTTTTAAGAACAAGCTATTGGTTTTATTTCTCAGGCCTATGACTTTTCTGCCTTCTAATCATGGATTATCCTCTTCTGGTCTTTATGAGTTCCTTTTCTAGTGACTTGAGCTAACTGTGCAGTGGTAAAGAATCGAAGATAATAAATAGTTTATTTTTAGTCTCTTATTTGATATCAAAAGTATTTAGACCAGGACTCTGTGCAATTCAGGCCCGCATCCCATGGACTTCGTGATATGCTGTGTTCTTATCTTTCTACACTCTAATTGTGGATTTTAATTTTGTTTTTACTTTAACATTTTTGAAAGTCAATTTTTTTTTTTTCCTGTGATGAGGTAGTTCACATTTTGTTATTGGGCTCTGGCTTTATTTCACTTTGATGAGAGAATGCCCACAAACAAGCATCTCTCTCTCCCACCACCTCCCATTCTCTCTCTGAGTTCTCGGGGCCCCCCGAGGCCTCTCACCGCGTCCCTCAGGGAGAAGGACCCTACGCTGTCATCGCTAGCGTGGTTATCACTGGCTTGATTTCCCCTTCAGCTTACAGTTTTTCTCCCTGCAAGAGGCTCCTGCTCCAGCCTGTTTAACACGTGTCTTTAAAGATGTCTATATCTTTGAAAAATACATAGTGTTGCTATTGGTGTATTTTAATTTGCATAAATGATACTGTGCTACATATCTGTTTGTCTATTCATTTGCTAAGATGTCTCAATGTGTTAGAGAATCCACATTAAGCGGTTTTATTCACTCAAGTTATTGCCCCCACGTGCCCTGTGTCAAATCTTTTTCTCTCCCTCAGACATCATCTTGGGCAGAGCCCATACGTTTCAGTCACTTTCCATTAATAAACACCCTGTCCTAGTAAAAGGCTCAGTTTGAAAATTGGTTTGATTTAAACCTCACTAAGCCCTACCCACCTCCTTCCTCTGGTGTGCCTGATGGATGGGGTACCTGTGCTCCCCGACTGTCAGGGAGCTGCGACTGGGTGAGCCAGACAAGGAAACCCTTGGGCCTCCTGGAATTTCTAAGAGAATACTCTCTCTAAGAAGCCTCTCTCTTTCTCTGCTTACTATTCAGGGTTTCCTTAGATGTGCTAAGTGTTGACCTCTAGTTGGTTCTAAACAGAACAGATGCTCTGGGTTTCAGCCTTCTCTTGAGTGTTAGACTCTGAGGAACCTTTATTCTCTTGCCAGCTCACTCATGCATTTAAAATGATAATCTCAAGGATTTAGTTATCTTCAGCAAGGTTGGGCAGGGTAGCAAGTCTCCCATATTGTAAGAAGCCAAATGCTGAGAATTGATATTATTCCATGGTCTTAAGTTGACTCAGCCAGAAACAATGGTATGCTTGTACAGGCATGTAGGTCTTCTTTTATGTTTTTAGGTCTAGTTTTATTATTTTTTCCCTTTAAGTGTCTCATTAGATTATGTCCTATAAATCTTGGTTTGCATGATCTTATAAAATCTATATCATCTGTATCTATATCTATAGAGAGAGAACTGTTTTTCTGCTTTTTCTAATTTATTACTTTCCAATGATACAGAAGAATATAAAGAAAGTTTTTAAAAGATCATAAACCCACCATCAGCAGAAATAATAGCCATTACCTTTTTTTTTTAATTTTTTTTTTTTTTTAGCCATTACCTCTTGATTGATCTATGCTGTGGTAAACGCTATTCTTACACTTGCACCTGCTTTGCACAAAAAGATAGGGGCTGGTTTGCATTTCAAATAGCTCACCCTGCAAGCAGTATTGCAGGAAAGAAAAAGGTCAAGGGCACCACCTGGGAGGCCCTCCAGGATATAAGCAGAGGGCACAGGTTGGGGCCAGGGAGCAAAGGTCAGAGAGTTAGCGGGAGAGTGAAGGCAGAAGCCAGCTGGGTCCCGAGCTTGGGCCCCAGTGCAGAGCTCCCGTGTCCCAGAGCATATTCACAGCCAAATCGCATTGTGAGGGACAGCGGAGGCCTACCATAGCTCACGCTAAGGCTATGGCCCGGGACGGGGCACGTTCATCCAGGGTCTGCAATGAGACCCTCCTGCTACCCCCGCTTATGGCACCCTTCCTCCGCTCCACAGAGTAACTCCGGCAGCTCCATGGTCTGCCAGGTGAACAAGACCTGGATTCAGGTGGGGGTGGAGAGCTGGAGCTACAGCTGCAAACAGCACCACTTCCCGGACATCTACACCAACACAGCGCACTTCACCCAGTGGATCCAGAAGCAGATCACTGACGTGAGGTTCATCAGCAGGGACAGCCTCGCCGTGCAGAGCCCCGGCTTCCTCGCTGGCTACCTCCTGCTGGGCTCCTTGGGCTCCCTGTGGCTCCTGTGAGCGCTGTTTCCAGGTGGCCTTTCCCGGAGGAGGCAGCCTCTTCCTGCCCGCCACCCGCAGGAGGAGTGGAGACGGGCAGCGGCTGCTGGGCGCTGGGGCGGGGTGCCCTTGCGGGAGGCTCCCAGGGCCGCTGGTTTTTCAGTTGTTCAATGAAGATGCTTTTGAACTTTTTGCCACTGAAGTCATCACCTTTCTTCTTGACTCTGGCTGGAACCCTTCACAGACGGCGCCACTTGTGGCTCCCCAGGGCCCCTCTCCTGGGTCTCTGGCCAGCAGTTTCCCTCAGCAACTTCCTGCAAGGGTTGGTCTCTTCCCAAGACACAAAGACCACGCCTGTACTTGTGGCCCTTGTTCCAGAAACTGGAGGCCTCTGCCAGCCCCTCACATCCCCCTGAGGGTCTACAGAATCTAACCAGTTTCTCTCTCCTCCCCAGCAGGGGCGGGCGATCATGCTGGTGGGGGAGGGCAAGGCAGAGCGCCCGCTTGGGTGAGCTGTGTGAGGTGACTGCCCCCTGAGCTCCTGAGCTGGTTCAGCGACCTCCCTCAGACACTGGAGAGCGAGGACAGGCTGGCCCAAGCCTGCCGGCCTGCGAGGGCAGAGTCGTGCCCCCGTGTGGAGGAGGGAGCGTGGGGGTGCCTCAGACCTGGCGGGCCGCAGGTTCAGAGCGGGCAGCGACCCTCGCCCTGCGGGCCCTAGAAAGGGAGTGTGATTTGCTGTCTTCTCAGAGAGGGGGCGCAGAATGGCTGAGCTGGGTGTCTCTCCCAAGACGGCAGGCTCTAGCAACAGTTAGAATGTCCTGGTTTGACTGAACTTTGACCTTATCTTTTATTAGGCTGCAGTTTTCCAACAGCTTTGAACCAAAGTTTCTCATCGGCTCTCCCCCACACTGCTCTTTAAATGTATTATCCAGCGATGTCACTGAGACATCAAAACATTCCCCAAATCCCAACAGAGTGGCCTTCAGCTCCTAGGAGACCTGGTGGTCACTGCCACTCTTTCCCTGTGAATGGAAACCTCACCTGTGCCGTCGTCCCTAAGTAGGTGGATCTGTAAGGGAAGAGCCTTTGCTGAATGGAGGTTGGATTGGGGAGGGCGGTGTGCTGCTTAAAATTATGCAATCTTTTAAAAAATGTTTATTTATTGGTTTATTTTTAGAGAGGGGGAAGGGAGGGAGAAAGGAAGGGAGAGAAATATAGACGTACGAAAGCAGCATCGATTGGTTGCCTCTCACGCACACCCCTACCAGCTACTGCACCCGCAATCCAGGCGTGTGCCCTGACCAGGAATTGAACTGGCAACCTTCACTTTGTCAGACGATGCAACCAAATGAGCCACATTGGTCAGAGCAAAATTATGCAGTCTTTAAAAATCTTTATTGAAAACCTTTCAATCTGCTTAATTTCAGTAACCAGGGGTTGGGCCATCTCACCAGGGGAGGGATGGAGGCATGAAACCAGTCCAGGGCAGTGGCCGTGGGAGCCAGGAGGTAGAGGAACTGGTGAGGTTGGCCGAGGGGCTCCAGGAAACTATTTGGCCAAGCGGTGTGAGGAAACCAGGGGGCCGGAGACAAAACCAGAAACCCGGCAACCGGCGGGCGCCCTCGGGCCAGACATAAGTCAGGCAGGTATGACGGAGGCCAATCACTAGGGGGCGCCCTCGCGGGCGGGACCCAGGGAGCACCATCGCGGGCGGCTGCTGGCGGGCGCCGCGTGCTCTGGGACCAGGGACGCCTGCACCCACCACACACCAGGAGCCGTCTTGGGTGGCCTCTGCGGGGGCGCCATCGCAAGAAGAACTGCGGGGCGCCGTTGCTGCTACCCCGGAATGGAACCCTGGTGCAAGACCCCAGCCCCTTCCCTGATCCAGGCTGGTCTCCTGCTGCTGCTGCCGCTGCTGTTCAGGCCGGAGGGTGAGGCCGCTTTCCCGCTCCCCTTCCCCGCTCCAGGGCCTTCTGTCCCCTTCTGACCCTCTCTGCACCCTTCGACAGGTTGCTTGGGCGCAGGCGAAGTCTTGGAGACACTCTACACTGCTGTTCCCCGCGACTCTGGCTCCCCCTGTGCCCCGAGTGCCACCTGCCCCTCAGGGGGTCCTCGCCTCCCCAGGCAGGTCCCTGCCGTGCCGACCTTGACCCTGCCTCCCTCGACCCAGCCTCCCTCGACCCAGCCTCCCTCGACCCCGCCTCCCTCGACCCCGCCTCCCTCGCAGAACCCGGGTTCTCCAGTCGACGTTGACCTACTGCCCAGTGAGTACTGTGGACTCACGCCATCGGGTAGGGCGAATTGCAGGAGTCTTCAGAACCTTTGACCCCCCGGGACAAGTGTTTAGTAGTGAGCACCTACTCCTGGCCAAGCCTCCCATCCCCGGGAGGTAGAAGGCACAGGAAGTACCCCTGGCTCCTAGACTCCTCCGACTGCCAGGGGGCGGGACGGGGGCGGGGCGGGGGGGGGGCGTGGGGAATGGTTCTCCAGGGAAGCTTTCAGGGAGTCCTCCTGTGGGTGTCCTGGGGCGCCCATGCAAGTGTTGTCTTGAGCAGCGGCTTTCAAGCAAGCTGAGGCCAACTTGGGAAATACTTATCCTGGAAATCAGTTCACCCAATTTAACTGCCAGCCTCAGCCTCACACGCAGGACCAGCAGCACTTTGCCAATATTTCTCCTGTGTTAGCCTTACAAATACTGGTTGTGGCCCACGTACCCTGGCTTCACAAGCCACTCATCCGTTTGGAAAACACCCACGAGTGGAGCTTCTGTGATGCTGGGTGTGTGCATCTGCGGTTCAAAATCTTTTCCAAAGTATCTGCACCCACTGACGCCCCTCTGGCAGAGTGAGCCGTCCGAGACGAGAGTCCCCACCACCACTTGGGACCAGGGACGTTTAGTTTTGCCCAGCATGTGTGTGGAGTGGAAGGAACCTCACTGAGATTCAAGTTGGCCTGTCCCCAAGTACCGATGGGGCTCCGTGTTGGCCTGCGGCTGCGTGTCCTCCCCGGGCTGTGTCTGTTCGTGCACGTGGCCGGTTTTTCTGTTAAGTCATCTGCCCCCTCTCTCTGCATCACTGGAGGGGGTTCCCGGAAGAGGGAGAGGGGTCTGCCTTGGCAGAAGTAGGGGAACCAGGTGGGAACACGGATGAGTGTGTGAAGGGTCCGGCCCGAACACTGGGGCCAGTGGGAATGCCCTGGGGCCCGGGCAGGGGGGACAGGGAGAGGGACACCTGGGGAGTGCTGAGGCCATTCTGAGTTGGATACCCCAGCCCACATGGGGACAGCATCGTTCTATGATGCGAAGTGGAAAGGGGGAGTTGTTGGCTGGTTTTGGGCCAGAGGCTGGGGTGGTGGAAGACCAGGCTGATGGGGGGGAGAGTGCCATAGGATGTGGCTGGAAGGTCCCCTCCCTGGCCAAGTTCTCCCCTTCCTCCTCAGCCTGCGGCATGTCCCAGGAGCAGGACCCCACCCTCAGGGACCCAGAGGCCGTGGCTCGGCGGTGGCCATGGATGGTCAGTGTGTGGGCCAACGGCACACACGTCTGCGCAGGCACCCTTATTGCCTCCCAGTGGGTGCTGACCGTGGCCCACTGCCTCATCGGGTGAGTCGGGGCCTGGGTGGGCAGCTGGAAAGGCGTTTGGAACCACATGGGGCCCAGGCCCCCTTCTGGCTGGCCCATCAGTGGCAGCTGCACCTATGGTAGAGCCCCGCAGTCCTAGCCCAGCCTCAGCCCACTCCCGGCGGGGGCGCCGAGTTCTACAGATTCTTTCCTGGGAGCAGGGACCTTGCCTCCCTCCCCTGGCCCCTCGGTCCTATGCAGTCTGCCAGATAGGAAACAGGGGCTTGGAAGCCATTGTCGGGGCCTCCTTCCTTCTATCCATGGAAAGAGGGGCCTGATTCTTTCATTCCACACCCTTTGCTTCACTTAGTCGTTCCTTCCTTCCTTCAGCTAACAGCCTTTGACACTCCTTGGAAACCAGGCCCTGGACTGGGCACTAGGGGCAGAGAGGGGACAGATCACTTCTCTGGGGTTGCTGGGAAGACAGACAAGAAAAGAGGCACTCGATGTGGGGAAAAGAGAGAAGGCATGCCCACGCTCCGGGGCCAGGGGAGCGGCCTGAGGGCACCGTCTCTGTCGGCCGTGAGGGCGGATCAGGGCAGAAGCATGATTCGAGCCTAACAGATGACACACAGGCTGCAGGGCCACGTCGGGAAAGGCGGCCAGAGGGCGAGGCTGGGCTGACTGCACGGGGCCCTGGACAGGATCCAGAGTTTGGACCCAGAGAGAGCTGGGTCCACATCCTACCTCCCCCGCTTCCTAGTGGTGGTCTTGAGCTGGTCACTGGGCTTCTTTGAGCCTCGGTTTTCCCTCCATGAAAAGGAAGGGTTGTTGTGAGGACATGGCCGCACGGCATGTGCAGAGCCATGACCCACCGTTGGGAGGTGCAGGCTCTGGGCTTACAGCGAGGGTGGGGGTGGGGGTGGCCGGCCTGCGTGTTCTCAGAGCGCACCTGGGGGGTGGAGCGGGCGGGGTGCCTGCGTCTGACGGCAGACTCCCTTGGTGGTTCTCCTAGGCATGATGTTACCTACTCAGTACGGGTGGGGAGTCCCCATATTGACCAGGTGGCTCAGACGACCTCCGATGTCCCGGTGCGCCAGTTCATCGTGAACAGCCGGTTCCGGCCCCGTCGCTTGTGGTCCTGGGTCGGCCAGGCCAACAACATTGCCCTCCTCCAGCTGGAGTGGGCCCTCAAGTACAGTAAATACGTCCGGCCCATCTGCCTGGCCGACATGGACTACGTGGTGAAGGACCAGTCCTTCTGCTCTGTGACGGGCTGGGGACTCCCTAAGGTTAACGGTGAGTCACAGCCTCCCCAGACCAGTAGGTGGTGTGGGAGAGGACCTGGGCCTAGGCTGGGGTCTGCCGACGTCGGGCGTGTCTGAGGCATTGTTCCCATCAGCCCTCGCCCTGACCTTCCTCTCGGGCTTTCGTGTGCAAGGTCTTCTTCCCTTGGAGGGTTTCAGCGGTGACTCCTCTGTTACGGTGACCAGCATGTAACGGTCACTTAGGGGACAGAGGCTGATCACCACAAGCACCGGGGCCCGGGCCGAGGCTTGTAAACAGGACGTCCTTGAGGCGGAAGTGGCGCAGAGCAAGCTCGCATGGCCCGCGCAGTCCCAGGGCGCCCGTGGCTTGAAGCAGGTCCTCTGAAGTGAGAGGAGCGGGGCTCCATGCCTGTGAAAAGCCCCCCAGAGGTGCCCCCATGGCTTGCCAAGGACAGTCTTCACCCGGAGGTTGGGAACCACTCTGGGTCCCCCCAGTGGTCCCCAATTCCACATCGTCCCAATTGAGGAGCCACCAAGCCTGAGCGGGGCCCTTGTCCCACAGGCAAATGGCCTCAGTCCCGGGCCATTCAGGAGAAGGAAGTCACCGTCCTGAGCAGGAGTGTTGTCCTGGTCATCTGAGGGTCTATTTCCTCATGATCCCGGGAATGTCCTCTCCCTCCAGGAACCCCTATCCTTCCCCAATGGAGAGCTGCCCTCCCATGTAGCCTCATGGAGCCGACTTACCTAAAAACACCCCACAGGGGCGCCAGCCCAGGCAGGGGGGTGGCTTTTTGGTCTCCCCTGTCATGGCCTGTCTGGGGAATGGCTGGGAATGGTCTCCTGTACCCTGGAGTGCTCAGGCTAGGGGCAGAGCCAGCGGAGGGGAGGGGCGTAAGCAGAGCCTGGGACCCGGGTCGGGGGGCACGCCTGGCAGGCTCAGGGAGGGGAGAGGCCTTCGGGGAGGCCTCGGAGAAAAGGAGGGATTGGGCCTGAAGGGCCTGGCAGGCGTGCGGGGTAGAAGGAAGGGCCAAGCCAAGACGCTGGGGCAGGAGTGGGCGCCATGGAGCAGAGCTGCAGCGTGAGACCAGGCCCAGCAAGGCCGGACGGTGGGCAGCCTGCTCCGAGGCCTCTGCCTCCGGGTGCTTGGGGAAGGCAGCGGGAGTGGCAGGTGGGCCGAACTTGGAGAGACCTCCGGGGCCGCCGTGTGGCAGGCAGAGGAGCTGGAGGAGTGCGAGGAGCCGAGGGAGGTTGGTGACGAGGCCAGCGGCAGTGGGCAGCAGCAGTGGAGCCACCAAGCCTGAGCAGGGCCCCTGTCCCACAGGCAAATGGCCCCAGTCCCGGACCATTCAGGAGAAGGAAGTCACCATCCTGAACAGCAAGCAGTGTGACGGCTTCTACCACAAGTTCTCCAAAATCCCCTCGGTGATTCGGATCATCAATTCCCAGATGCTGTGTGCGGAAGATGCCGACAGGGAACAGTTCTGCTATGTGAGCCTCTGTCCCCTTGCTCACGGACTTCCAAGGCACCTGGCCAGGACGGGGCGAGGGGCGCGGGGGAGGAGCGGGGGAGAGTGGGGGGTGAGCGGGGGTGATGGAGCAGGAAGAGGGGAAGAGGAGAGGGGATGGAGGGAAGGGAGGGAGGGAAGAGACGGAGGTCTGATGGGAGAGGGGCCGTGGGGTGGTGGGAAGATGGAGGAGGGTGGGCTAAAGAAGGGGGTTGGATGCAGAACTGGCACCAGAGAGAGGGGAAATGGAGCCCTTTGTGGAAGGTCTCCTGGGTCCCTCTCAGCCTTGTGACACTTGGGGGCTGGGGGAAGATGTGGTGTCGGGGCACCCTGGGCGTCCCTGAGCTGGGTCATGTTTCCCTCAGGCCACATCCAGCCTCCCTGACCCTTCTGTCCTCTCACCACCCCCCACAGGAAATAAGTGGGGAGCCCCTGGTCTGTCTAATGGAGAACACGTGGTACCTGGTGGGAATGGTGAGCTGGGGCCCTGGCTGCGGGAAGAAGGAGGCCCCGCCCATCTACCTGCGCGTCGCTGCCTACAAACACTGGATCTGGGAACGTGTGAACGGGCAGGCTCTGCCAGCGCCATCCGGGGTCCTGCTGCTGGCACTGCCGCTGCCCCTCAGCCTCCTGGCTGCCCGCTGACTCTCCCGGCTGTCCCTGGGGGCGCCCTCCTCACTCTCTGTGTCCAGAACGCTGCAGGTGCCGCTCTCCCGTCCCCCCGAGGCAGGACAGGGACTAGGTGCTCAATTAAACAGTTCTCTTCCCCGTGTCACCTCCTCCTTGAGCTTTGGAGGCCCCTCGCTCCCTGGGCTCCCTCCAGTGGGAGACGGCTGAGCCAGGAGGGGGCGGGGCGGGGACTCCGGGCCCTGACAAGCGCAGAGGCCCAGGGTCGCCTCCTTCCAGAGGTCCAGAGGGCAGGGAGGCTCCTGCAGCAGGTGGAGGGAGCATGTGCAGGGATGACACCGGGGTCAGTGATGATACTGCCCAGGCTGAAGGGGGTGCTGCCAGGACACAGTGTGAGGCGGGGCGAGGACCTCGCTCTGTGTGCCAGGGAGCCGAGTGTGTTCTTCCTGTGATGCGTCAGTGGGAGTCGGGCTCTGCTTGGCTCTAGCCCGTCTACTGGCCAGTGGCTAGAAACACACCCTGTCTTTGCCTTGAAGCACCATAGTGAACTCTGACCTTCCAGCGCCACCCCCTCCCTAGCAGGTGCCCACCGGTCATTTCTGACCCCCAGCAACAGCAGCCATGCCCGCCCGTGAAGGGCTCCCGAAAGTCCAGGTCAGAGGTCAGGGAGCCTGGGCCTGGACTCTCCCAGGCCGTACCTCTTTTTGACTTTCAAGTGGCCCTTGCCCCTCTGGGCACCCGCTGCCCAGCCACACAGGAGGGGTCTGGCCTGCATGGGTAGAATGACCTTTGCCACAACCCTTTGCCCCCTCACTGCTCCTGGTCAGGATCCAGGTGTGACTCTTGTGTGTCCCCAACGCTGGACTCAGGCCATCGAAGGCCTATTGAAAGCCAAGAGGAGGAAGGGAGGGGAGGGAAGAGCCGGCCACTCTCCCCGCACCCCCCGGCCCGGATCCTGCCTCGGCTGCGCGCAGCTGGCAGAAGCTGCCCCTCAGGCCCTTGGTCAGCATCTCTCCCTCCAGCTCATCCTAATTCAGGCTTGGAGAAAAGTCAGGGGAGGGAACTTCGGCCTGGCCTCTGGCACCTATCACCTGTGGCTGCATCAGCCTTCACAGAAATGCTCCGGGACGGGGTGTCCTGAGGGGTCACTCCCGATCATTCACTCACTCGGGTATGAGAAGGCACTAAGCTTTATTTACAAACCTCTGCGGGGCTCAGGACAGCGGGAGCTTTTCCAGCAGCTCCCCGGCTCCGAAACCTCTGGTTACTCCTTGGTCTCCAGGCACAGGTCTGAATGCCTCAGCTAATGTCCGCTGCCACATGGCAGTCCCTCTCTGCACCTCCCATCGCAGCGGATGCTGTCTCCCGGTGGCCTCTGAGCCTTTCTGTCAGCAGTGCTGCTTTTAGGCACTGTTGTTGAGAATGGTGCAATGGAAGAAGCTGCCTCAACCCCTGACTGCCCCCTCTGGGGACCCCCCAGCACCTTCCACCAGAGCTGAGCAGAGAAGGGGTCATGAAATAGCCCAAGGGCTCCCTGGACACTCAAATAGTCCCTGGATTCCTAAGATAGGGCCCAGGTGCCAGCTTTCTTCCCTCTCCCCCTGGCCCGCGGGCCTCAGCCTTCTGCTCCCGTGACGCCCCCGCCTGGCAGCCCCAGCCCTGAGCCCCCAGGGCCTCAGGTTGGCCTCCTAGAACCTCAGCTCCATCACAATGTATAAACTAAGTGCCTGCCATTGCCAGGAGCTTGGTCTGCTGGGCTGGGGATTCTCTTGCTTCTGGCCACCTCTGCTCGCCCCACCAGGCCAGAACCCCCACCAGGCTTGGGGCAGACTCCTCGCCCCCAGGACTGCCATCTAGACAAGTCTGAGAACCTCCTGCTGCCATAGCTTCCCATTGTCCATCCAGTTCATGGGCCTTTCTGGAAGTGAACCCGCATCCCATCGCCCCTTTAAAGCCACTACTATTTCTGGCCAAGGGGTGGGACAGAGAGAGGCCTGTTTGGGGGTGGGGGTGGGAGGAGGCTGCTCAGGATCTGCAGAGGGACAGTGGCCCTAGGCCAGCTTTGCTGAACGGCCACGAGGATGGGGTAGAAGGAGCGGAGTCCGGGCGGGGAGGCAGGACACCTGCAGTCTTGTCCCTGCCCTTCCTTGGCCATAAGGACATGGTCATGGGCCCCAGCAGCTCCCTCTGAGCGGAGAGGGGTGGTTCTGCAGCCTCCGTGGTCCATGAATAAGCTCGGAGTCCAAGATGCGTGGACGCTGCCAGGACGTGAGCCCCAGGGCCTGTCCGCCCCAGCTGCCACCTCCAGGACGCTCTCCTCATTTCTCTCCCTTCTTGGCTTCGTTCTTCTCGTCCTCCTCTACCTTGATGGCCACTGTGTCCACACTGTCCTTTTTCTTTTTCTTCTTCTTATCATCTGTGTGGTAAAGAGATGTGTGACCGGAGTGAGTCAGCGCCCTAAGGCTCATACCGGAGCCGTCCAGTCCAACCCTTCCCCTCCTCCTTCCTTCCATACCTCTCCCACCTGCACAATATGTCCTTGTTTTACCTGCCTCCCTCTGACCGACTTCTGTGCTCTGGCGGCCAGGGACAGAGCTGGGTCCCCTCCCTCAATCTCCTAGGTGGTAGGTCTGAGGAACCGGCTGGCTCTCCGGGGTCGGGGGGCGCGGGGCGGGGGGCCCGGGCCTGCTCACCTCCGGGGACTTCCGTGAGCTCGTCGAGGGGTGGCACTGTCTCCAGTTTGTCGGTGTACATCTTGGCTGCCTTTCGCTGCAGGTACCGGGCCTCGATCTCCTTCCGGGTCCGTGGCACACGGCAGTTGAACACACAGCACAGAGTGATAACTGGAGGGGGACAGAGCGGGTTTGGCCAGAGCTGGAGCTCGGACACCAGGGAGGTGCCCGGACTGCAGGGGTGTCTCCTCACCTACTAAATGTGTCTCCCCGGAGAGGCTCGGCCAGGGGTCCCCGCGTTGTGACTAGGCCTGGTTAGGCCTCGGGACTTGAAAGCGTTTCCACAGGCCCCGCCCTTAGAAGAGCCTGGGGCTTAGGTTAGTGCTCGGCTCTCACTGTCTTAAAATTCCTAATCGTTTTTGAATGGGGGTCTCGTAGTTTCGTTTGGCACTGGCCCTGTCACTGGGCCTGGTCCTGAGGGTCCTCCCGACTAGGTTGAGCATTCCTGGAGAGCAGGGCACACGGCTGCACCATGACACAAGCCACCGCTTCCTGGAGGTGCCCCGTGCCTCTGACCCAGGCCTCTGGGCTCCATGTGGACCCTAGCTTGTCCTCCCCTGGCGCCTCAGAGCAGAGCCTGCGTGGCCGCGGACACCCGAGGACGGACGTGGCTGCGTCCTCCTCAGCCTCCCGGAGGCCCAGCCTGGGCTCCGCCCGGCTGTGACAGCTGAGAGGGCTCAGACCCTGCCCCGGGGCGTTCACCTCAGACAGTTATTCCAGGAGCGGTTTTCCTGCTGAGGGTGGCTGCGCCCACGCAAGCTGGGCCAGGGCACGGAGCTGGCCAGTCCGGTGATGGCACGGCTGGGCAGGGCTGCCAGGGCCTGGTTGGACTGAGTTTATTTTTCTGAGCCGCCCCCTGTCCCCCAACCCTGAGCCTGACCACCTTGGCCCCAGCCTGAGGAGAGGGGATGGAGCTACTTCCTATTATAAATCAGATGACCAGACATGACTTCTTGGCAGACTCCTGGGGACAGGAAGGCCAGGCAGGAGAAGCCAGGCTTATTTTGGGGAAGATGGATCAGACCTACGTGGCCTGGGCTTGAGCACTGTCTGGAGTCATCTTGTGCAACTTTGGCCAGATATTACAAAGTAAAATATAAAACAAAGTGAAGGAAAGAGAGAGAGAGAGAGTGAAAGAGAAAGAAAGAAAGAAAGAAAGAAAGAAAGAAAGAAAGAAAGAAAGAAAGAAAGAAAGAAAGAAAGAAAAGAAAGGAAGAAAAAGAAAGAAAGTCTCAAAGCCTTTGCTGCTGAGGACAAGCCTGGACTCCTGAATGCGTGGATGGGGTGGGCAACAGCATCCGGGAACACACTGGGGAGGGGGCTGCATGAGGCACCCCATCCAAGCCCAGCCCCTTTCCACAGGGCTCTGGGGGCGATGCTCCTGTAACAGCTGCAACCGGGCCCATGCAGACCAGGGAGCGGGAACGCCGTCTCCTCCCCAGGAGAGAGGTCGTGCCATCCCGGCTCCCTAGAGCCCTGCATGGAGGCAACCAGTGCCGCTCTGCTGCTCAGGGGCCTTAGGGGCCGCCCCGTACCCTTCCTCGGAAATGGGGTGAGGAGCAGGGGTCGGTCTGTGTGGTTGAAGTCCACCACGCGGGGCCTAGCAGAGGCCAGGAGAGGCCATTGTGTGTGCTGAGGTTCCACAGTGCCCTCACCCCGGCTCCCCAGGGCGGCCCAGAGCTGCTCCCTGCCCCTGCACCCTAGGCTGGCGGGTGCTGCCCCCACCGTGCCTGTTGGTGCAGGGAACCCCCTCTGTGGACTCCTGGGCTGAGGCTGAAGCCGCACCTGTCTGTCTGTAGGCCTCCACCCGGACGCCCGCCGGGGCCTCAGCCTTGGCTAGGAGCACAATGCAGCCTCTTGCTCAGATCCTGGTCACACCCTGGCTGTCGAGCAGTGGCGGGGGGTGCGGGGGGAATGTTTTCTTGCAGGGAAGGCACTTCTGGTGCCAGGAGAAGCACATGCAAATCAGATGTCCTGTCGCCCTCGGAGTCCTGCATCTGGAGGGGCCTTCTGCCATCGGCTCTGCCCTCAGGGGACCTCATCTGGGACTGCTCCCCCTAGAACTTAATGCGGCTTTAGCCCCCACCCAGGGTGCCCTCTGTAACTGTAACAGAAGGGTTAGCTGTGGCCCCGCCATCCCTTCTGCCCACCTGAGCGCCTTCCCAGCAGTCCCCCCGGAAGCCCCGCCTTCCCCCCCCCCCAACTGTGCGCTCACAAGACTCCTCCTCTCTGAAGCCTTTGCAGGGGGCCGCTCCCTGCTCCCTTGGGCCTGTAGGAAACTCCCGC